GTGAAGGTAGAGGGTGTTGTAGTTGAGAAAGTTCTTGTGGAGCTTCTGTATTTCATCCCTCGACGGGATGTGACCGTCACTATTCAGGGTCTCGAAGGCTCGACGGTCGAAGAGCGTCTTCAGATCGATATATCGACGGGTTCCCGGAGAGGGTCGCGTCGATAGGGATCCCGGTGGCCGAGGTCCCCAAAATGGCGGTGATGTCCAGGATGGTGGGACCAATGGGACCAAGGGAAGGACCATTGTGTTGGTGGCTGAGCACCAGAAGCATAGAGCGGCTAGGAGCAGCTCCTTGTCAGGGACAATGTCCATCGACGAAAGGAGGATGGCGTCGTAGATGCCCAGGATTTTCCATTTTTTCGCCGAAGAGCCGTTCCATTCGGACAACCCAGGTCGCCCAGGTGGTGGTCGTCGAGGGCCAGGAGCCTTGGGGCTTTGCCGCCTCCCATCTCGACCATTCAAACCCTTGGAGCAAGGGTGTAAGGCAGTGTTCCTGGAGAAGACCAGTGATGGTCGGCGGGATTGTTGCCTTGAAGAGAGGACCCAGGATTTGGTGGACGGTGCTCATGTCGTTCTCGAACCGTATATTCTTGATCGAGCTCCGATCAAGGATCTTCTGATGCTGGTCGCATTCCCGGGAAAGCTTGGAGATGAAGGAGGCCATTGTAAAAGCACAGCGTAAGGAGGTTTTTCGGGTTGGGGATTTGAGGACGGAAGCTTGGAATGGAGGAATGCACTTGAGAGCAAGAGTAGGGGATTTCAGGAAGTTTGAGAACGTAAAGAACAAATGAGGAAATTTCGGTATTTTATAGAGTAATTGGGAGGAAGAGCAATCGTTCGAAATTCAAAACAAAGGGCAAAATCGACCGGGGGAATCGTTGATCATGATGAGCATTTGGGGAATGCGGTTGAGAAGACCGACGGTTTTAGGTTTTGGGGGCGCACGATCGCGTGTGACGGCGAAGTTAATGACGAAAGACGGTTCGACGCCTGCACGATGACAGGTGGGCTTACGGACTGATGAAAATGGCTCTCGGATTGAGATAGTGGTCATAATGACGAGACGGTTCGGGCAGGCGCACGCTTCAGACGTCATTATCGGGGATTGGCCATGTTAGGGGGATGCCACGTGGCGAGTGGTTTAGCAGGATCAAGATCGTGCGAACATGTTCAATAAATATACGCCTTGGAACTCGGGTATTGGGATCCTGAGTGGTAGATTCGCTTCTTCAAGGCCGAAACTCGGCCGAAGGGTTCAGGCCGAGGACCTCAAAAGCGAGGGGGCAATGTTTGGGCCCAAAATAGCAGTTTGGGCCGAGGGAGGTATCACTTTCGGCCCGGGAAAGACTACGGCGAGAAAGTCATGGGGGCTTCAGCTCATGGGCTTCTAGGCCTAGATCGGTTAAATCAGAGTGCAAGTCGAGTCCTAATACAATAGGGACCCTCGACGAGATCGGTAAAACTAGAAGGCGAATCCGGCTCAGTTAAGGACTAGATTCGTAGTCCTAGCAGAGGTAGGACTGATTGAGGTAACATTAATCCGGAGAAGGAAACCTAGTTCGAATAGGATTAGAACTCGGGCTCGGTGTTCTGCTCCTATAAATACAAGACATTCAGCAATGGAAGAGGCCCCACAAAACATCAATACAAAATTGCCCTGCGCAAACTCTCACAACTTGAGATCTTTTTCTTTTCTTTTTTCGCTGACACATCTTCCGTTGGCATCAAACAGCACTGTGGAAGCAACCGGTGATATCTTAAGTCGGCATAGATAGCTCTGTCACCGTAGAGTCGGTCGGTCTCGCAGTATCTTCCGTTGGCATCAACAGCACTGCGGCGAGAACGGTCGATTGCCTATCCAAGTCTCGGTCGAGAAGGGTTTTCGAATCCTTGTTGGTCGAGGTCATCTCATTAGCCTTCTCGGCGAGGTGAGGTGTTACAGTTATTACATTCGGCACATTGTAAGCCGAATTCGGTTCGTGAACTTTGTAAGAAATAGCAGCCTTGTCTTCAGGCTCGAGAACCCAAGAGGCCGAGACGCGTTCCTTTCTCGGCCGCAATCGCAAGACGCAGAAGTCAGTAGCGCGACCCAACGCAGCATCATCAAATTTACTCCTCGGCCGAGCCTCGGCCGACGAGTTGGCACGCCCCGCAATCACCGAAGGACGTAGTTAGCTTAGAATATATTCGGCCTGCGCGCCACGTAGGCTTTGTAATTTCTAGGGTCAACATTTTGGCAAGTGATATGTACATTTCCGGTTGCAAATTTTGGTTCGCCGGTGTAGTGCACAGGGGAGGGGATTGTCTCGCATTGTTCCAAGCAGTTAGAGGCGGTCGACAACGGTTGCGATGATGTGTTTTCTACGGGGAGAACATACAGGAGTCATCAGTTATCTTCTCGCAACCGTCTTTCATAATGAAGGACGAGAGAGAAAAAAAACGAATATAGAAAGAAAACATACAAGTTGGTTGACAAAAGGGGAAGAAAAATTGAGAGATACAGAGAATAAGAAAAGAAGAAAATCGATGCAAATTTTAATACATATGTAGTAGATCCAGGTATCCAAAGGATTCGGGGCTAATGTACCTGCATTGATGAAAAAACAAAGATGAGATTTTTGGAAACGCATCTGTTGACCCTAAAAACTACCAAGCCTATGTGGCGCACAGGCCGAGTAATTAATAAGCTAACTACGTCCTTCGGTGAATGCGGGGCGTGCCAACTCGTCGGCCGGGCTCGGCCGAGGAGTAAATTTTGTTGATGTTGCGTTGGGTGCGCGGCTGACTTTTGCGTCTTGCGATTGCGGCCAAGAAAGGAACACGTCTCGGCCTCTTGGGCTCTCGAACCTGAAGACAAGGTTACTATTCTTACGAAGTTCAATATCAAATTCGGCTTTCAATGTGCCGAATGTAATAACTGTAATACCTCACTTTGCCGAGAAGGCTGATGAGATGACCTCGACCAATAAGGATTCAGAAATCCTTCTCGACCGAGACTTGGATAGGTAATCAACCGTCCTCGCCGCAGTGCTGTTGATGCCAACGGAAGATGCTGCGAGACCGGCTGATTCTACGGTGACAGAGCTATCTATGCCGACTTAAGATATCACCGGTTGCTTTCACAGTGCTGTTGATGCCAACGGAAGATGTGTCAGCGAAAAGAGAAAATAAAAAATCTCAAAGTTGTTGAGAGAGTTTGCGCAGGGCAGTTTTGTGTGTTGAATTGGAAGTCCCTTCTCAGCGTTCAAAGCCTTGTATTTATAGAGTTCTTAATGCTCAGTCGCCGAAATAGATTTTCCCAGTTCCACTCTAACTCTTCTACATCCGGATATTGTGATAAAAACCCTTTGATAATATCACTTCGCCTTAGTCAAAGTGTCAATGTCGTGCTCCAATTTGTATCATTATCTTAACATATTAATTGGAAAGATAATTAATTGGAAAGACAATTCACTTCCCAAAACAATCACCTTACTTTTCTCAAGAATCCGTATCCCCCACACGTTGCAGATGCCTATCCAATTTGCAATTCAAATTCATCCCATCTGCAAGTTACCCATGCATACATGGAGACCACGTACCCCAACAATTTCTGATCAAATTATATTGCCACCTTATCACCACCACATGTAAAATGTTTTCCATTGTTCCACGTGGCTTTGTACGTGAGTCCATTCAACCATAGACCCCATGCAGCCAACTAGATACCAAGCTGACATCCATCACCTAACCTTATTGGATTTCCTATTCACCATTATCTTCGGCTTGCAGATCCATGTTAGGCCATATGAAGAGTCCAAAAATTTGTATAATTTATTTTGTATAAGAAAATTAAGATAATTTATTAAAAGATAATTATTATGATTAAGAACCATAATATTATCTCTTAACAATAGCAAATTATCTTAACTTTCTTATCCGACGATTAAGAACCATACTTACCCAACGGCCTTGATTGCTTAGGCCAATGGTGTAAAATTGGGTCCAAACAGCATCACATAGTAGTTAAAATACCCAGCCGTAAATGAACGGTTTGAGATACCGCCATAGTGGCATCCCTCAGGTGTGAGTTTCTCTCGTATCGGATCACTTATTGTAAGAATATCAGTAGTGAAAGTTAAATACCCGTGTCAGGAAAGGAAGTCGATGATGACAACTGACAAGAGAAAAATTTGGCTTGAAAAATGTATGATGTTTGCAACATGCGTCACCGGAGTATGAACTTGAAGCTCTCCATCTCTCCGTCGTTAAATGTTTCGTAAGCAGCATTCTTAAAGTTCTCTATGTCAGGGGGGAAACTGAAGATGGTTTTGAATGAAGAAGAATGGAAAATATAATTTAGAAAATGAGAAAGAAAATTATAATTGAAACTAAAAAAATGAGAAATTAAAAGAGAGATTTACTATTTTCTAGGAGGTCTTAGAGTTGGCCGTGACAGTAAGAGAGGTTAAGCGAATGAATTGGGCCAATTACTTGGTCTCTTGGATTTTGGGCTTTTGGTTTGGATTGGGCCAATTACTTACTTGGGCCCCATCCCAACTTGACTTTTTGTCGGTCGGTATTGACTAAGGTGACCGTGCTAAACTAGAAATTTGAGGTTTTGAATTAGCGAATGAATGTAAGTAAGAATGTCATGATCAGACTTGTAAGACTGTCTTTAATAAGAAGTTGTTGCGTTTTGTCAAAACCGGTCCATCTAATTACAAATTGTAACCATATTAGTTGAGTGCATATGCTACATCACATTTAGTGAATATTCAGTACGGATGATATATGGTCAGACTTGTAGGTTGTTCATTAAGAAGTTACCACGTTCTCAAGAGTGGAGCTAGAGGGGAGCACTTCCCTACCAAAGTGTTTTCCTTCTCCCCTTTACAAGCGATTTGTGTCACTATTAGATAGGATTCGAACACAAGACCTTGAATTGAGAGGTAAACGCTTTTACAAAGCTTCTACTAGCACCTTCTTGTTTACCAAACTCATTGAGACTAAAGGAGGTCTTAACGCCATTTTGGCTAATACTATTCTGTATATTTTCGAATGGTTTTAAGTTTGGGTTTAATTGGATAATCAGAGAGTAGTGCATCAAACTATGGATATTCAGAAACCGAAAGCATAATCATATTCCTCCAACAAGTCCACGCAAATAACTACAATCAGAATGTTAGTTCAGAACTGGCCATATAGAACGCAGTACAAAAGCACTAAAAGCGTCCAAGTGAAAGTGCTTTCTCCTCATGTAGTTTCATTTAACTTAGTTTCACATGCCACTCCGTCACACACTCAACTCCTCAACGTTCGGGCCCAAAGCATTCTTTATCCTTTCTGTACGAGAGACAATAAATTTAAAGTTCTTGTGATGAAATCATGTAAAACATTCAGAAATCTTGAGTTAACCCTTTCTCAAGATCATAGGTTGTGTCATCTCAACTTATATCTTAGGTCTTATGAGTGCTCGTAATACACTATTATGACACTTGTTTTCTGGCCAGGACAGAAACAAAATCATGCAGGAAATTGTCATGACAACTTCAGTGTAAAATGCGACCGGAAAAACACTAAACAGGATAGCTATGCTCTCTTAGCGTAAACCTTAACAACAAAGACTATACCGTATCTGTCACAGTGATATGCGACCATAAGCCCAACTCCAAGGATCACCTTTCCAAGAGCTTTGAAGGCTACAAGTCAAAAGTTACATGCAGTGATGACATGATCATGAAAAAATACAATCATAAATTAAAGGAAAACATACCGACTTCTAGTTCTGGCAATTCACTATTGGGCCATATAATTGAACCACAGTATGAGGGATACCTACAATACAGATGACAAATAAAATTTGAGGGACACAAAGTATTATGTTCTGTTTACGCAAAATCTGTAAGTTCTCAAATAGGATAAATAAAGATAAACATATCCCAGCATAAAGACGACTTGTCCTGGCTAATTCTAAGAAAGCTTGTATCAAATGTATGATAGTTATTCATAACTAACACAAACAACAGTTTGGCCAAACATTACTGGTCTGAGCCATATACTGTGTGACCTCAGACAAAACAGATCCCACATGTACTCAGATTATGATTGATGTCCCTATACTTTTACCTTTGAATTAGAGATTTATCTGTCGTAGGGCTATCCAATATTGGATTTGCATAAAACGAGCCTTTTAACGTATCTGCAAAACCAGAACACAAACGGAAAATGATTGATCCTATGTTCTTAAGTTTCCAAAGAAACAAAATTTAATACAAAGAACATAAAGTGATATCAGGCTTTCCAGATTTCTTTTCCATGACTCCATCCAAAATTTATGAGTTATGAATGGAATAATGGAGCAAAATATCGTCGCCAAAACAGCGCAATCTACAATGTACATGATAAGTTCCAACTTTTGTTCAATTTCTTGACGAAACAATCACATTTACCCTTACGGCACGGCACGGTTCCGGGCATAGAATATGGGTTGGGTTCCGTCACAGCTCCAACACTAATTAGCAATGTAGAGAAGGAAATAAAAAGACAACTATTGATTTCTTACAACGTAGCGAGTCTCTTGACATGGCTCCTGCTGTTTTGTTCTTATTTCACGTCCTGTTTCTCGAGCTTGGTGTTTCCGGCAGGGCTGGTCTAGAGATTTTTGAGGTCTAGAGCGACGTAAAAAAATATGCCCTCACTTTATATAAGAAAATTATTTGTTTTCACATGTAAGACATCGATAAAATTATATTTACAAAAACACTTAAAACTTAATAATTTAGAAACAAGGAAAAACTAATTTATTTTGTATCGCGAGAATGATCCAAAAAAACTCTGGGTTTACAAGTAGATAGATATGGGTTTACAAGTTGCAGATTGCTTTGCTAACTATGATGATCTGGCTGGGGTTCATTGGTGAGATTCTTGATTTCCTTATGCTACTTTGACATATCACCATAAGTTGTCTTTTTTGCCTTGTTATAGTTTCGTGTGGGGTTTTTTTTCTTCTTCTAATGTTGACTGGGTTCTTTTCTTCCAACTCCTGCCCGCTCATTATTGTCTGAACCACACCTAGTATTACCCTCATATCCACTAAAACTTCAAGCTTTACCAATTTGTCACAAGCGAAGATGGTAGCTCCCAACACCAATGAGGTTCCAAACAATTACGATCGAAAAAGCGAAGTGAAAGCTTTTGATGAGACAAGGGAAGGCGTTAAGGGTCTTGTTAATGCCGGGATAGCCGAGGTTCCTAGAATTTTTCATCAACCACCACAATTGGACGATCAGTACTCCATCAACAATACAAGCACTGACTCAGAAGCCACCCAGTTTAGCATTCCGCTAATAGACCTTGAAGACCATGGTAATCCAACTAAGCGCAATGAGATTGTTGCAAAAGTTGGAGAGGCATCAGAGACTTGGGGCTTCTTTCAAATAGTGAATCATGGGATACCTGTAGGTGTTCTGGAGGCGATAAAGGATGGGGTACGTGGGTTTTATGAGCAGGACACTCGAGTCAAGAACGAGTTTTACACTCGTGATCACTCTAAACCTTTGTTTTACAATAGCAACTTTGATCTTTATAGTTCACCGGCAACGAATTGGAGGGGTAAGTGTTACATGGCTCCAAATCCTCCTAAGCCAGAAGACTTGCCAGAAGTATGCAGGTATTTGACACCCCAATTCTCTGGTTTAATTGGTGACAGTAACCTGGTGCAGATTCCTTCCTTGATGGATTAGATCATTAAACTCCATACTTTTGACAAGTTTAATGTGCTTTCCTGGTTTTCAACTTGCAGAGACGTACTGATCGATTATTCAAAGCGAGTAATGGAGTTGGGGAAATTGTTGTTCGAGTTGCTGTCGGAGGCCCTTGGGCTAAAGCCTAGCCACTTGAATAACATAGATTGTAGTAAGGGGCTACAGGTTTTAGGCCATTACTATCCTGCTTGTCCACAGCCAGAGTTAACTTTGGGCACAAGCAAGCACGCTGATGATTCCTTCCTTACGGTCCTTCTGCAAGATCATATTGGTGGTCTGCAAGTTGTTGGTCGTCAAAATAAGTGGATTGACGTACCCCCTGTGCCTGGGGCTTTAGTGGTGAACATTGGAGATCTTTTACAAGTAAGCACACGTATACAATTGCCATATGGTCTAATATACTTGTAGAAAGGGTTGGGTTTCTACCCATGCGTCTCAGGTACGGAACTTCCCCTCCTATAAATTATTGTAATAGCTTCGAACTCTCTATCTTCCGCAAAAATAAAAAATAAAAAATAAATAAATAAAGAAGTAAAATTTTAAAAATAAAAAGGGGTTTTCTAACACTTCTAGTCATCATGTTTACAGTTTTTGTGGCATGCTGCTTAGCGCTTAACGAATTCAACTGTGGTTGTGGTTGCGGTTGCGGTTGCATATCAATACTATTATACCATAAGTGTGGGCTTGTTTGAGAATGTTTTTGTTTGTAAGAAGCGGTTTTACACAATTGTGTCGAAAACCTGTTAAAGTATTTATTATAATCCAACTGCTTATTGGAGAATCACTCTCCGTAAAGTCAGCTAAAAAAAGTAGCCAATCCCGTCCATCCTCCACACTATATAACCCGTACACGAAAGAGGAAGCTGAGGAGACAAAGCAGCCAAAAATGCTAAGAAGATTATATTTTTATACTATATTGAGGTATGCCAAGTGATATGTACATTTCCGGTTGCAAATTTTGATTCGCCCGTGTAGTGCACAGGGGAGGGGATTGTCTCGCATTGTTCCAAGCAGTTAGAGGCGGTCGACAACGGTTGCGATGATGTGTTTTCTACGGGGAGAACATACAGGAGTCATCAGTTATCTTCTCGCAACCATCTTCCATAATGAAGGACGAGAGAGAAAAAAACGAATGTAGAAAGAAAACATACAAGTTGGTTGACAAAAGGGGAAGAAAAATTGAGAGATACAGAGAATAAGAAAAGAAGAAAATCGATGCAAATTTTAATATATATGTAGTAGATCCAGGTATCCAAAGGATTCGGGGCTAATGTACCTGCATTTAAACCTGTAAACGGATCGGATTTATTGGGTTTGGGTCGGATTGAACCCGACCCGTTAAGTTAACGGGTCACCCGAACCCAACCCGTTAAGCTAACGGGTCACCCGAATCCGACCCGTTAAGCTAACGGGTCACCCGTTTCACCCGTTAACACCCGTTAACAATTATTTTTATTTTTATTTTTTGCATAAAGTGTATTTTTTGTCATTAAGATTTTACTTAAATTACTAAAATATCCTCAACTAACGGGTGCTAACGGATCCTAACGGGTCTAACGGGTTGACCCAAAGTGACCCGTTATTTAACGGGTTGTTAACGGGTTCATCCGTTAACGACCCGACCCGTTAAGCATCCACCCAAATACAAATATTAACAGGTTGGGTCGGGTCGGGTTAACGGGTTGGGTCCAAAATGCCAGGCCTACCTGCATTGATGAAAAAACAAAGATGAGATTTTTGGAAACGCATCACATAGTAGTTAAAATACCTGGCTGTAAATGAACGGTTTGAGATACCACCATAGTGGCATCCCTCAGGTGTGAGTTTCTCTCGTATCGGATCACTTATTGTAAGAATATCAGTAATGAAAGTTAAATACCCGTGTCGGGAAAGGAAGTCGATGATGACAACTGACAAGAGAGAAATTTGGCTTGAAAAATGTATGATGTTTGCAACATGCGTCACCGGAGTATGAACTTGAAGCTCTCCCTCTCTCCGTCGTTAAATGTTTCGTAAGCAGCATTGTTAAAGTTCTCTATGTCAGGGGGGAATCTGAAGATGGTTTTGAATGAAGAAGAATGGAAAATATAATTTAGAAAATGAGAAAGAAAATTATAATTGAAACTAAAAAAATGAGAAATATAAAAAGAGATTTACTATTTTCTAGGAGGTCTTGGAGTTGGCCGTGACTGTATGAGAGGACAAGCTAAGTTCCAATGGAAAGTGGAAATTTTCAGAGCGAGAGGGTAGCGGTTTTTTCGCTTGCCCTCTTGGACTTTGGGCTTTTGGATTGGATTGGGCCAAGTACTTACTTAGGCCCCATCCCAACTTATGACCTTTTGTCGGTCTGTATTGACTCATGAGTCAGACTTGTAAGGCTGTCTTTAATAAGTTGCCGCGTTTTGTCAAAACTGGTCCATCTAATTACAAAATTGTAACCATATTAGTTGAGTGCATATAAATCACATTTAGTGAATATTCAGTACGGGTGACACGTGGTCAAACTTGTAAGGTTGTTCAATAAGAAGTTATCACGTTCTCAAGAGTGGAGCTAGAGGAGAGCATTTCCCTACCAAAGTGTTTTCCTTGTCCCCTTTACAAGGGATTTATGTCACCATTAGACAGGAGATTTGAACACAAGACCTTGAATTGAGAGGTAAACGCTATTACAAAGCTTCTATGAGCACCTTCTTGTTTACCAAACTTATTGAGACTAAATGAGGCCTTAACGCTTATATCTTAGGTCTTATGAGTGCTCGTAATACACTAAAATGACACTTGTTTTCTGGCCAGGACAGAAACAAAATCATGCAGGAAATTGTCATGAAAACTTAAAGTGTAAAATGTGACCGGAAAAACACTAAACAAGATAGCTATGCTCTCTTAGTGTAAACCTTAACGAGAAAGACCATACCGTATCTGTCACAGTGATATGCGACCATAAGCCCAACTCCAAGGATCACCTTTCCAAGAGCTTTGAAGGCTACAAATCAAAAGTTACATGCAGTGATGACATACTCATGAAAAAATACAATCATAAATTGAAGGAAAACATACCGACTTCTAGTTCTGGCAATTCACTATTGGGCCATATATTTGAACCACAGTATGAGGGATACCTACAATACAGATCACAAATAAAATCTGAGCAGACACAAAGTATTATGTTCTGTTTACGCAAAATCTGTAAGTTCTCAAATAGGATAAATAAAGATAAACATATCCCAGCCCAGCATAAAGACGATTTGTCCCGGCTAATTCTAAGAAAGCTTGTATCAAATGTATGATAGTTATTCATAACTAACAAAAAAAAAACAGTTTGGCCAAACATTACTGGTCTGAGCCATATACTGTGTGACCTCAGACAAAACAGATCCCACATGTACTCAGATTATGATTGATGTCCCTATTGACTTTTACCTTTGAATTAGAGATTCATCTGTCGTAGGGCTATCCAATATTGGATTTGCATAAAACGAGCCTTTTAACGTATCTGCAAAACCAGAACACAAACGGAAAATGATTGATCCTAAGTTCTTAAGTTTCCAAAGAAACAAAATTTAATACAAAGAACATAAAGTGATATCAGGCTTTCCAGATTTCTTTTCCATGACTCCATCCAAAATTTATGAGTTATGAATGGAATAATGGAGCAAAATATCGTCACCAAAACAGCGCAATCTACAATGTACATGATGGAGAAAGTACAGCAACAGCAACATTACATAAAGTTCATGTAACCTTTGGTTTCACATGTAAGCCTTTGGTTTATATTTTTAACCGATTCGTTAATAAATTCTTCCTGCACATATAGTTTCAACCCGAAACCGAAAGTTCCAAGTAAATTACAACATATCACCATACCGATACTGATGTGATTCAGAATTAAGCATTTTGAACTTATCAAAACTGATAATGGAAGAGAGAATCAGTAATTAACAACAGTAAACGCGTAACGGAATCATACACGAGTGATTGATAGAATTCCCAACCCATTTGGTCCAAATCCTTCTTCAATCTTCACTGACAAGTCTTTGTCCTTGTCCTGTATCAATCAATCCAAAATCAAAAAACGCAAAACTAGAAAAATTGAATCCTCGACATGATTGACGAGTTAAAACATAGCAATAAAACAAAACTATAAATAAAACAATTATATTCTGTTTGGGTGCTGAGAAAATGAAGAGAATAACAACCAAAAAGTCAACTGAAATAAAATTTTGCTCAACTTTCAACGAATTCTCTTGAGTTTCTGAGCACCCAAACAGAAAATAAATTAAAGCCAATTAAACCAAACTCTCATGCTCAATTTTCTCGGCAACCACAAACAGAACTTAGAGGGGGGGGGAGAGAGAGTTACTTGGAGCTCGGAGTAGGATATGGTGACCGGTGTGACGGTGGGGACGGTGGGGACGGCGGGGTCGGAGGGCGGAGGCATAGTTCGACAAGGAATTTGGCCGGAAAGACGGCGGTTGGAGTGTGACGGTGGGGAAGAATCCGTGGGAACGAAGAGGAATTTTGGTGCGGAAGGAGGGTTTTTATATAGGAGGGAGGGAGAGAGGTTGAGAGCGAAAGGCGTGATTGTCAATTTCAATTTTTTTTTTTTTTTTTAAGGTATAAAGAAAGAAAAGAGGTTGAGCATCATCAATTCCTTTTCCCTCCAAACCAAAGAACATATTCACGAATCACGATCACGATGTGCGGCAAAAATTGGTGGTGGGGACAAATATATTAAATATATGTAACTATTAGTTAAATTTAAAATTATTTGTGTACTATTAAGGATTTGTTTGAAAATGTTTTTAAAATGATTGAAAGTAATTTTGGTTAAAATGTTTTTTATATTAACTTTTAGTAAAACCAAGTGGATCCTAAAAAAAGATTTGGTGTACTTTTTTACAAAAAACGCATATCTTGAGCACTTGAAGTGCTTTTAGAATCCAAAATTAATATAATAAAAAAGGGTTTAGTCTTTTTTTTATTTTAACAAAGGATATAATCTATCTTTAAGGTGAGAGGATAGACTTAACCTCACAATGAGTTAGCACATTAATAATGTGGTTCAAATTCGCCTTTGGCGAAAATCGAATTTAAGACATCTCACTCACAAGTGAGGAGGAATGCCCTAAATCGTAGTACTAAGTAATGTGTTTAGTCATTTTTAAAAGACTTTAAAATGAGCCCTAATTTGGATCAAATTAAAAAAAGTTGAATTGGCCGGATGTAATATGTATTGGGTATTTCCTCATTCAATAATATTTACGTTGTTTTCGGCTAAAAAAAGACAGAATTCAATTGGAAAAAATAAAAAAATGGGAAATAAGGATATTCTAATTAAGGTTTTTATTAATTGTTTTAGGTGGATGGTTCATATGAAGATTATGAAACGCTTTAATTCTCTAATGTGAGGTTCCGTCTCGATCCAAAGTTAATCAGTGAAAAATATAATTAAGATTGTTATTAATTATCAATTCATGTATATTTCCCCATGTATTACGTTACTAAGTTAGACAATGAAAAATACATATAAGGTGTTATGAGAATATGCATGGCTGTCAAGTCCAACACGCGAATAGCATGCTCCACTTGTATTACTCTCTAAGGATTTTATCCAAAATCGATGATGAGTGAACAAGTTGAAAGATTATGCACGACTTTAATTATGTAACAAGTGAAGAGGCAATTTTCGCCAACCCTGACACGACAAGTTCCACTTTTTGTTCATTTTCTTGACGAAACAATCACATTTACCCTTACGATTCCGGGCATAGAGTATGTGTTGGGTTCCGTTACAGTTCCGACACTACTTAGCACTGTAGACAAGGAAATAAAAAGACAAAGTTTGGATTTCTTACAACGTATTGAGTCTCTCTTCATGGCTCTTGCAGTGTTGTTCTTATCTCACGTCCTGTTTCTCGAGCTTGGTGTTTCCGGTTGCAAATTTTGGTTCGCCGGTGTAGTGCTCAGGGGAGGGGACTGTCTCACATGGTTCCAAGCAGACAGAGGCGGTTGACAACGATTGCGATAATGTGTTTTTCTACTGGGAGAACATACAGCAGTCAGCAGTTACCTTTTCACAACCGTCTTCAGTATTTGGAGGCACCTCAAGAAATTATCAAGGACAAACGAATGTAGAAAAGAAGAAATATCGAAGTTGGTTGACAAAAGGGGGCGAAAAGTTGAGAGATACAGAGAAGAGGAAGATAAGAAGAAACTCGATGCAAATTTTAAGCTAGATTAGTTATTTTTCATTAACGAGCGATTCAGAGAAGAAGAAACAGCTGCATTTGGAAATAGCCGCTTTAGTTGCCTAGTTTGTAACATTAGCTTTATGTAAATCCGGGGAAGAAACAGGAGTAAATAAAACACAATCAGGCAGTACCAAAGAAGAAAAATGTACAGTTAGGAACAATCACCACTTCTCAAACTTTGTAGTAGATCCAGGTATCCGAAGGACTCGGGGCTAATGTACCTGCATTAGCCAGAAACAAATATCAGATTTGTGGAAAGGAGTCGCATAGTAGTTAAAATAATTGGCAGTGCGTGAATGGTTTGAGATACCACCATAGAGGCATCCTCTAGGTGTGAGTTTCTCTCGTATCCGATCACTTATTGTAAGAATATTAGTAGTGAAAAAGAAATACCTGTGTCGGGAAAGGAAGTCAATGATGACAAAAAACCAATTTGGCTTGAAACATTGCGTCCCCCGTATGGAGCTTGCAACATGCATCACCGAATCAACTTGAAGCTCTTCACCTCTCCATTTGTTATGTTTAATAAGCAGCATTATTAAAGTTCCATCTGTTTGGGGGGATATACAACTAGTATTTGTAAAAGCTAAGCTCTAAAGGTCTCACCTTGATTCTTTGGCACAAATAGCTAAGTTTTGAGATGGGACAAAATGGGTCCCAAGACCCACATACAGTGCATCCGATGGTGTTGAAATCCTTTTCCCAGTAAGTCAAAGATAAGCACCAAGAACGACATGAAAGTGTTAAAATAAACACAGAACTAAGAATTAATGCATGAAGCAACAACAACAACAACAACAAAGCCTTTTCCCACTAAGTGGGGTCGGCTATATGAATCCTAGAACGCCATTGCGCTCATTTGTATCATGTCCTCCGTTAGATCCAAGTACTCAAGTCTTTTCTTAGGGTCTCTTCCAAAGTTTTCCTAGGTCTTCCTCTACTCCTTCGGCCCCGAACCTCTGTCCCGTAGTCACATTTTCGAACCGGAGCGTCAGTAGGCCTTCTTTGCACATGTCCAAACCACCGGGACCGATTTTCTCTCATCTTTCCTTCAATTTTGGCTACTCCTACTTTACCTCGGATATCCTAATTCCCAATCTTATCCTTTCTCGTGTGCCCATACATCCCATGAAGCATCCTCATCTCCGCGACACCCATTTTGTGTACGTTGATGCTTCACCGCCCAACATTCTGTGCCATACAACATCGCTGGCCTTATTGCCGTCCTATAAAATTTTCCCTTGAGCTTCAGTGGCCTACGACGGTCACACAACACGCCGGATGCACTCTTACACTTCATCCATCCAGCTTGTATTCTATGGTTGAGATCTCTATCTAATTCTCCGTTCTCTTGCAAGATAGATCCTAGGTAGCGAAAACGGTCTCTTTTTGTGATCTTCGCTAGATTGCTCCGGTCATTAGTGTGGATAAGTATATAAATGGATAGAGATAGGAAAGCAAACACAAGATGTACGTGGTTCACCCAGATTGGCTACGTCCACGGAAAAGAGGAGTTCTCATTAATTGTGAAGGGTTTACACAAGTACATAGGTTCAAGCTCTCCTTTAGTGAGTACAAGTGAATGATTTAGTACAAATGACATTAGGAAAAATTGTGGGAGAATGATCTCGTAGCCATGAAACTTCTAAGTACCGGAGTGTGGTATCGTCTTGACTTGCCTTATCTGTCTCATAGGTAGATGTGGCATCTTCTCTGGAAGTACTCTTCCTCCATCCAGGGGTGGTATCTGTAACTGGTGGAGATGCACAAGGTAATGTATCAATTTCACTTGAAGCTTACTTGTAGTTTCATGCTTGGTCAAGCGAGATACAAACCATGTAGTAGGAGTCCCCCAAGTCGCCGAGCTGGGGGATCTGCTGAAAGAGGTGACAGACAAGGTAAGTAATCAGAGCTCCGGCTGATTGTTCACATTCTCCCTATCTTGCAGGCAGCATGAAGGATAAAGAGAAGAAAAATGAGGAGAGATGATATGGGATACTTTTGCTTTTGAAGAAGTAACTTTCCACAGGCTTATTCTTGAACTGGGCTTGAGGGTTTTCTAGTTTCCTCCAGAGTATAAGGTCAACTGAAGAATTTGAGGGTCAAAACAAGTCCATCAAATCTAGAGTACGTTCGACCCTGCTGATATGGGATACTTTTGCTTTTGATAGAGTAGTGGATGTATCGGCACGTGTGCTGTTACGCTTGTCTCCACATGCTTCCTTGTATCATTCTCACTTGCCCTATCTGTTCCTCAGGCAGATGCGGTATCTTCCCTGGAAGCATAAGATGTTGAAGATGAGTACTCGAGAGCAATGCCAGGTAAGTAATCAGGTAAGGGGTTCCAGGCAGTCAGTTCCTGGCTGGAAGCTTGATTCCAAGTGCTGACTGATTGCTCTCTTTCTCCTTGTCTTGCAGGTAAGAACAAGGCTAAAGGAAAAGACAGGGAAAAAGCATGATATGGGATACTCTTGCTTTTAACCCTGATGATATGAGATATTCTTGCTCTAGTATAGCTTGTTTACAGAGGTATTATCGGGGGGAAAAAAAGCTGAATATTTCGAAAGGCTTTGTTGGGAGTGCCCTCTCAGATAAGAGAAATGGTTGAGCATTTTTGCAGGTCTGCCTGTCCGTTAGGAATGGAAGTTGACATATATAGGAGTCTCCCTAACATCAAGTAATAATGCTATTCCTTTACCCTGCTTGGTTATAGCACGGTAGTGGGAGCTGCCAGCTTCACATGTTTTAACTCTGTCAGAGCACTTTGAAAAAGTGGTTTGTGGTATCTGGAAAGCTGATGTTGCGTGTGAAGATTACAGACCTGTCGGGGGTCTGGCTCTCGAGATTCGGAGAACGATGCCTCTTCGATTTTTGAGAAAGCAATCCTGCTGGGGGTCTGGCTCCCGAGATTCGGAGAGCGGTCTCTTCGATTTTTGAGAAAGTAATCATGTTGGGAGTCTGGCTCTCGAGATTCGGAGGGCGGTGCCTCTTCGATTTTGGAGCAAGCAATCTTGTTGGGAGTGTTTTCTCGAATGAGAGTAAAGGTTGGGCATGTTTGCTAGTCTACCTTGCCACGAAGTACAGAGGTTGACACACAGGGACTTTCCAATTATCCAGCAGTGGTACTGTTCCTTTACCCTCTCTTCGATTTTTGAGAAAGTAATCATGTTGGGAGTCTGGTTCTCGAGATTCGGAGGGCGGTGCCTCTTCGATTTTGGAGCAAGCAATCTTGTTAGGAGTGTTTTCTCGAATGTGAGTAAAGGTTGGGCATGTTTGCTAGTCTACCTTGCCACGAAGCACAGAGGTTGACACACCGGGACTTTCCAATTATCCAGCAGTGGTACTGTTCCTTTACGGGTAAGAATATGGTAGCTAGACCTTCAAAATTTATGTGTCTAAACTTTGTTAGTGTTGTTTCTTTGCAATTCTTTTACCCTTCTTGGTCAGAGCGATGTAGTGGGAGCTGCAAGCTTCACGTGTCTCAACTTTGTCAGAGAACTTTGGCAAAGTTATTTGTGGTACCCATGAGCTACTGTTGCGTGTGGGAAGTGGGTGATTGAACAGTACGATTCATGTGCTTTCTACTTCACCAGAAATCTTCGACAGAATGCCCATAATTTCCGCAAAGCTGAGTGTGCGTGTGACAGGTGCTGACAAGGCTGGAAAAGTAGGTGCCTCTTCGATTTCTGAAATCGGCCCTCGTGGTCTCTGAGCAGCCCAGCTTTTGAGAAAGCAAGCCTCTTCGATTTCTGAGATCGGCCTTTGTGGTCTTTGAGCAGCCCAGCTTTTGAGAATCTCTGAGTAGCCCAGCTTTTGAGAAAGCAAACGCCTCTTCGATTTCTGAGCAGGCGCCTCTTCAATTTCTGAAGCTTCGTCGAATGCAGATTTTTATAGGGGCTGACATTAAGTTCCAAAGCACACTTGAATATCCACCAGTAGAAGCTCCATTCTTGCACTTCTAAGATCTTGATTTGTCCGACCTCTTCTCTCTTCAACACCTTTGAAAATGTCTGGCCCCTCCGACCGTCGTTTTGACTTGAACCTTGTTGAAGAGGCAGCCCCGCCTTCTCCAGACAACATATGGCGCCCATCCTTCGTCTACCCTACTGGTCCTCTTACCGTTGGGGATTCCGTGATGAAGAATGATATGACCGCTACGGTAGTGGCCAGGAACCTTCTCACTCCCAAAGATAACAGACTACTTTCCAAACGGTCTGATGAGTTGTCTGTTAAGGATTCTCTGGCTCTCAGTGTTCAGTGTGCAGGTTCTGTGTCTAATATGGCCCAACGCCTATTTGCTCGAACCCGCCAAGTTGAATCATTGGCAGCTGAAGTAATGAGTCTCAAACAGGAGATTAGAGGGCTCAAGCATGAGAATAAACAGTTGCACCGGCTCGCACATGACTATGCTACAAACATGAAGAGGAAGCTTGACCAGATGAAGGAATCTGATGGTCAGGTTTTACTTAATCATCAGAGATTTGTGGGTTTGTTCCAAAGACATTTATTGCCTTCGTCTTCTGGGGCTGTACCGCGTAATGAAGCTCCAAATGATCAATCTCTGATGTCTCCTCCTTCTAGGGTTTTGTCCAATACTGAGGCTCCGAATGATCCCCCTCCGGTGCCTTCTCTTTCTGGGGCTCTACCGACTGCTGAGACTTCTCCTAAGCAACCTTTGTGAAGGCTCCCTCTTGTTTGTTTATTTTGACTCAAGTATATGTACATATTTGTAACTTATCGGGGATATCAATAAATAAGCTTTCCTTCATTTCAACGTATTGTGTTAAATACACCAAAGCCTTCTTCGCTAAGTTCTTTGAATTTTCTTTTGTTGAAGCTTGTATGTTGAAGCTTTGTGAGTGGAGCATATAGGTTGAGGTAGTGTTCCCTTAATTTCCCGAGTGAGGAAAACTTCTCGGTTGGAGACTTGGAAAATCCAAGTCACTGAGTGGGATCGGCTATATGAATCTTAGAACGCCATTGTGTTCTGTCCTGTGTCATGTCCTCCGTTAGATCCAAGTACTCTAAGTCTTTTCTTAGGGTCTCTTCCAAAGTTTTCCTAGGTCTTCCTCTGCCCCTTCGGCCCTGAACCTCTGTCCCATAGTCGCATCTTCTAATCGGAGCGTCGTCAGTAGGCCTTCTTTGCACATGTCCAAACCACCGTAACCGATTTTCTCTCATCTTTCCTTCAATTTCGGCTACTCCTACTTTACCTCGGATATCCTCATTCCTAATCTTATCCTTTCTCGTGTGCCCACACATCCAACGAAGCATCCTCATCTCCGCTACACCCATTTTGTGTACGTGTTGATGCTTCACCGCCCAACATTCTGTGCCATACAGCATCGCCGGCCTTATTGCCGTCCTATAAAATTTTCCTTTGAGCTTCAGTGGCATACGGCGGTCACACAACACGCCGGATGCACTCTTCCACTTCATCCATCCAGCTTGTATTCTATGGTTGAGATCTCCATCTAATTCTCCGTTTTTTTGCAAGATAGATCCTAGGTAACGAAAACGGTCGCTCTTTGGTATTTCTTGATCTCCGATCCTCACCCCTAACTCGTTTTGGCCTCCATTTGCACTGAACTTGCACTCCATATATTCTGTCTTTGATCGGCTTAGGCGAAGACCTTTAGATTCCAACACTTCTCTCCAAAGGTTAAGCTTTGCATTTACCCCTTCCTGAGTTTCATCTATCAACACTATATCGTCTGCGAAAAGCATACACCAAGGAATATCACCTTGAATATGTCCTGTTAACTCATCCATTACCAACGCAAAAAGGTAAGGACTTAAGGATGAGCCTTGATGTAATCCTACAGTTATGGGAAAACTTTCGGTTTGTCCTTCATGAGTTCTTACGGCAGTCTTTGCTCCTTCATACATATCCTGTATAGCTTGAATATATGCTACTCGTACTCCTTTTTTCTCTAAAATCCTCCAAAGAATGTCTCTTAGGACCCTATCATACGCTTTTTCCAAATCTATAAAGACCATGTGTAAATCCTTTTTCCCATCTCTATATCTTTCCATCAATCTTCGTAAGAGATAGATTGCCTCCATGGTTGAGCGCCCTGGCATGAACCCGAATTGGTTGTCCGAAACCCGTGTCTCTTGCCTCAATCTATGCTCAATGACTCTCTCCCAGAGCTTCATTGTATGACTCATTAGCTTAATTCCCCTATAGTTCATGCAATTTTGTACATCACCCTTATTCTTGTAGATAGGCACCAAAGTGCTCATTCGCCACTCATTCGGCATCTTCTTCGTTTTCAAAATCCTATTGAAAAGGTCAGTGAGCCATGTTATACCTGTCTCTCCCAAAACTTTCCACACTTCGATTGGTATATCGTCTGGGCCTACTGCTTTTCTATGCTTCATCTTCTTCAAAGCTACACCCACTTCTTCCTTCCGGATTCTACGATAAAAAGAGTAGTTTCTACACTCTTCTGAGTTACTCAACTCCCCTAAAGAAGCACTCATTTCATGTCCTTCATTGAAAAGATTATGAAAATAACCTTTCCATCTGTCTTTAACCGCGTTCTCTGTAGCAAGAACCTTTCCATCCTCATCCTTGATGCACCTCACTTGGTTTAGGTCCTTTGTCTTCTTTTCCCTTGCTCTAGCTAGTTTATAGATATCCAACTCTCCTTCTTTGGTATCTAGTCGCTTATACATATCGTCATAAGCCGCTAACTTAGCTTCTCTCACAGCTTTCTTCGCCTCTTGCTTCGCTTTTCTATACCTTTCACCATTTTCATCGATCCTATCCTTGTATAAGGCTTTACAACATTCCTTCTTAGCCTTCACCTTTGCTTGTACCTCCTTATTCTACCACCAAGATTCCTTTTGGTGTGGGGCAAAGCCCTTGGACTCTCCTAATACCTCTTTTGCTACTTTTCGGATACAACTAGCCATGGAATCCCACATTTGGTTAGCTTCCCCCTCTCTATCCCACACACACTGGGTGATTACTTTCTCTTTGAAAATGGCTTTTTTTCTTCTTTTAGATTCCACCATCTAGTCCTTGGGCACTTCCAAGTCTTGTTCTTTTTTCTCACTCTTTTGATATGTACATCCATCACCAACAAGCGATGTTAATTAGTCACGCTCTCTCCTGGTATAACTTTGCAATCCTTACAAGTTATACGATCCCCTTTCCTCATTAGAAGAAAATCTATTTGTGTTTTTGACGACCCACTCTTGTAGGTGATCACATGTTCTTCTCTCTTCTTAAAGAAGGTGTTGGCTAAGAAGAGATCATATGCCATTGCAAAATCCAAGATAGCTTCCCCATCCTCGTTTCTCTCCCCAAAACCATGGCCACCATGAAAACCTCCATAGTTGCCTGTCTCCCTGCCCACGTGTCCATTTAAATCTCCTCCTATAAATAACTTCTCCGTCTGAGCAATTCCTTGCACCAAGTCTCCAAGGTCTTCCCAAAATTTCTCCTTCGAACTCGTATCCAACCCTACTTGAGGTGCGTACGCACTAATCACATTGATAAGTTCTTGTCCTATTACAATCTTGATTGCCATGATTCTATCTCCTACCCTCTTGACATCTACAACATCTTGTGTCAAGGTCTTGTCCACGATGATGCCAACACCGTTTCTCGTTCTATTTGTGCCCGAATACCATAGTTTAAACCCTGAGTTTTCTAGATCCTTTGCCTTACGACCAACCCACTTAGTTTCTTGTAGGCACATAATATTTATCCTTCTCCTCACCATAACTTCTACTACTTCCATAGATTTTCCCGTCAAGGTTCCTATATTCCACGTTCCTAAACGCATTTTGCTTTCTTGAACTCTACCCTTCTGTCCTAGCTTCTTCACCCTTCCCCGTCTAATAGGATCAAAGTACTTCTTTTGTGTGTCCCGTGTAAAGTTGATAGGAGCATATGCTCCCAAACAACTTTGAGTGGAGTCGTTCGAAAAGAAGTTTCTATAGCCCCCTTGCTCATTTAACACTGTATCCGGGTGCCGATGGAGATACAGCGACCCTTGCTCACTTATCACTGTGCTCAGGCCACACAGCGCGCCACTTACGGGTGACGCCCTAGCTTTAGCGCGATTTCGTTCTGGATTCATTTTCATAAGGATTCGACGTGATCATGGAGTGCCGGCTGTCGACTACCTGACGCCCTCCCCCTCCTCCTTTATCCGGGCTTGGGACCGGCAATGTAAGATAAACTTACACGGCGGAGTTAAGAATTAATGCATGAAGCAAACAGAGAAATTGTACAGGCCATTCTCTTTATATTCTTATAATCTAAACGGTTTCTCCTTATCAATGCTGGAAAAACAGCTTGCTTCTGTCATAGGAAAGTAATTGCGTCTGAGTATAGAAAAAAACATACCTACAGATCTCCCTCCTGGACTCTTTGCCACTATACGTGAAAACCCAACATCTGGGAACAAACAAATTACATTCTCTGGCATATCAAGAACAGTCCTCTGAAATGTATCCATACAAAGTTAGACACAAAATTCAAAAAGGCAATGCAATTTACAACATTGACAATCTCTGTCCGACAAGGAAATAATACCTCTGTATGATACCGTAGCGACCATGACCTGATAGGCCAACACCAAAGCCCATTGTTATGCCATCCATGAAGCTTATCTTGGGCTTCTTGTACTCAGAGATTTTGCATATTAGAGAATACTCAGCAGTGAATACCATCAAGATCAAAATGTGATGATGATGATGCATCACCACCTTGATTGTGCCTCTGGATCAAAAACCTACCATCAAGATCAAAATGTGATGTAGAGCAAGTCCTTCAACTTCTTCAGTTCCCTGTTAACAAAAGGTTATATTCATGTGTAAGAAACGTATTATTTGCACACGTTACATGTATGAATACATGCAAGTACTATTGTTGGCTAATTGAGATGAATGTTACTTAATGTATAATAGACATCCGTAAGTTATATGTGCTTTTCATGTACGATGCAGTAATTCAGAATTTTATTGGGAATGTACTAACAGATTTATCTCTCAATACATCAGTGACCTCTTGATAGTTCCACAACCTACTCCATTCTCCAGGGGGGGGGCAACAGGAATTTTCAGAAATGATTACTTTGGCCATTTCTTGAAGCAAATCATGCATATTCAACTTGTTGCGTTCAACAGTTATAAGGCATTGTTCATGAAGGTCACTGATTCCTATTGTTGCAAAAAAGTTACATCCATCTAATATTTTTGCGACAAAGTCCTTATCCAATCCAATAAAGAAACAAGATATGTCAAGGAATATATCCTTCTGTGTAGGATCTAGCCTTTCAAAGCTTACTCTTAGCGCTTTCATTATTCCTTCATTAGGAATTTTTTTCAATTTCTCCAACTGACTTTTCCACTCTGTTGGGGTTCTTTCAATCATAGAAGAACCTAAAACTTCAAGGGCTAGTGGCAAACCACCACAGTAAGAAATAACCTCTTTTGAGAGTTCAAGATATCCTTCATTAGGCCAACTATTTCCAAAGGCATGCCAACTAAACAGCTTCAGAGCTTCTTCTTCATTCATTCCCTTAAGCAGATATGTCTTGTCCACTTTCATGTTCACTTGCTTTAGTAAACGTTCATCTCGTGTCGTTATGATAATTCTACTTCCTGGGCCAAACCAATCACGATTTCCAGCTATTGCATTTAGTTGTTCCACTTTGTTTACATTGTCAATAATGACAAGTACACTTCTACGTTGGAGATGATTTTTTATCAAACTGATACCTCTATCAACACTGGTTATCTTAGACTCGGTCTGTTTCAAGATGTCAGAAACAAGTTTTCCTTGCAAATCAACCAGATCATATGCACTAACGTTGGCAAGGAAACTTTTGAATTGGAACTTATGATGAATTTGGTTATAAATGGCTTTGGCAGCTGTTGTTTTACCCAATCCACCCATCCCCCAAATTCCAACCATGACAACGTCATTTGATCCACCACCTGAAAGATAACTGATAATATCTTGAACGCGAGAATTGATTCCAACCGGGTGCTTGGCCACATTTAATTGGTTTGCGCTCAGAAGCCATTCCGTAATGATCTTGCCAACAATTTCTCTAATAAGATTTGCTTCGCGCCTGAAAATTGAATTTGTAAGCATTAGTGGGACTCAATGAACAATAGGAGCAATCAGTACATAGACAATTTTCTTTACTTCATAAAAGAAAGAAATTCATTCATTAATTAAACTCCAATTACGGTTTATGTTTTATATGAGAGGTTAAGGTGTATTAATTAAGCATGTTAATTAATGTTTAATTAGCTTCTGTAAAATGTTAATTAAGCATGTTAATTATATGAGAGATTAAGTCATTCACTAAAATGTTTCAAATCTTGAAAAGCAGGTGAATGATTACCCATTGTCAGTGATTTGAAGATGTTGGCCAGACAAATTTGCAGCTTCTGTAAGAGCCTTTCTCCATTGCTTTACCCTTTCTTGTTTAGCTTCACGTTCCTTGTCATCTTTTTCTTCATGGATGCCCTCTTCGTGCTTCTGAAATGCTTGAGCTAAATCTCCGTTCTGCTTCCTAATATGTGAAGGATCAACATGATAGAATATTGGCAAAACACGTCGCCCCAGTTTGTATCTGCACTCCATGATCTTCACCAGCTCGTCAAGACACCAACTCGAGTCCGCATAACTCTTTGAGAAAACAATGATAGATATCCTCGCCTCTTCGATTGCCCGGACCAGTTCCTGTTTTATTTCTTCCCCTCTTTCTAGATCGTCCTCATCGATATAAGCCTGGTATCCCCTGTCTGTTAATGCCGCATGGAGGTGGCCTGTGAAACCATTGCGTGTGTCTACACCGCTGAAGCTCAAGAACACGTCGTAATTCCAAAGTTTTGACTTGGAGGAGGATGAAGAGGAGGCTTCGTGGGTTGTCATGGCGATATCCACCGTTATGGCACTGCAGTGGTTCAGATCACGACTGCAAAAATGGCAGTAGTTGTGTTCGTGCTGTCAAACGGATGATCCTGAATTACCTAAACCCAAGTCAAGCTCCTTCAGTCAACAAGAACAAAGTTTATAATATAATAATGTTGGCATATGGACTTGAGAAATGACAGAATGTTGCCGGAAGGTGCAGAGAAAGAAAGAGGAAAAAAGGAACGAAAGGACAAAGACTATCCAAAAGATTCTTGGCTGTGATTACAGCTATTCATAGGAGAAACAACGGACATATTTTCATAGGAGAAACAACCTGCCCATCTTCGTATATAATACATTTCAATGGACATTTTAATAGGAGAAACAAATTTAGTTTCTACTAGAAATTTTTACATGCGCGTTGCTACGGGATTTGAAATTGTATGAAAGATTATCTTTGAAATATATAATAGATTGTGTGATTGAAGATTAATACTATTTACATTGAAAATGTTGGAAAAAGTTTTACATACAAAAGATGGTGAATTTTTTTCTATCTACATGCATTATGTTATGGAATGATATATACATATATATAATTAATCAGATTCAAGTGTGGGATAGCAAGGTCGCCTATAAAGTTGTGAAGTCGTGGAAACATAAAGGACAAATAACAAATGAGTTTTGAGAAATTATTCCACAAATGTCATTCTGCAAAATGTATTAAAGATGATTGGTATAAGATTAGCAGTCATGAGTAGTGTAACAACATCAACAAAATAACTATAGCTTTCTAAGAAACCCGATGACAAAATCAACAAAATAGAATGGAAAAATGACTTACACTTTTAAGGCATGCTCGAATCTTGATCTAAAATTGGTGGTGGGTCGATTGTTGGTCACCAACTCTAAATGAAGAATTCATCAGAACCTAGAAATTTAAACTAAGAATTTTCCAAAATCAACATTTACTAAAAACCAGTTACTTGGTTATCATGCATGATGGCTTGCCAAAGACTGAATTAAGGAATGCACAACTTTACTTTTATGATTATTTTCAAAGACAGCTAAAAGGTCAGATCCAAATGAAAATAAAAGTTAGGACTTCACAAAACCAATTAAAAATCTAATTCCAAAGTTACAAACACCCACTAAATGATTCCAGATAAAGTTTTAAACTCAAGGTCAGACCAAATGAAATTAAAAGTTAGGACTTAACAAAACCAATTGAAAATCTGATTCCAAAGTTCCAAACACCCACCAAATGATTCCAGATAAAGTTTAAACTCAAAAACCCAACGGAAACAAAAGCATTGGTGTGGATTAACTGTATCTGATTGTCGAACGGATGATACTGAAATACCTAAAAGGCTAAACCCAAGTCAAGCTCCTTCAATCAACAAGAACATAGTTTATAATATAATAATGTTGGTGTATCGACTTGAGAAACGACAAAATGCCGGTCCGGAAGGTGCAGAGAAGAGTAAGAGAGAGAAAAAGAGGAAAGAAACGAACACAAAAGGACAAAGATTATCAAATAGATTGTAATAATGACTTCTTTGGAGGTGATTACAGGTATTCAACCACCAATACTGTTTTATTTTAGGTTGAAATGTGTAAGCATCTAAGAAGTAGCATGGCAACAACTACATAATAAACAAAAGTGATAGGAAAAAAGGACCCAGATGTGAAACGACAACTAAAAACAATTGTCTCGCAAGCCGTCGGGTTTCGTCGGAAAATCTGGGTTTTCGAAGAAAACAAGCGTGCATGAATAAATAGTCCAAAAATCGACCTCAAATCATCACCAGACAGGATTTAACCCATGAATATAAAGGTTAAACGAGAAATCTCACCTGGGTTTTGAGTTTCGAAGCTTGAAACTCTTGGCTGCAAGGGTGGATCACTGAAATGGTGCTCCGATGATGCATGCAATGATGTATTCGAGTTCCTTGAGTCTCAGGGATTCCAAATATGTGATTTTGGGGCTGGGTTTGTGAGTGAATCGAAGTGAGAGCAAGGGTTTAGCTCCCGGAGCTTAGAGAGAGAATTTGAGAGTTAGAGAGAGAGTGAGTGAGAGAGGTGTCGAGCAAGGGGAAGAAGGGAGAGATTTGTCACGGGTGAGGGAAAAACAAAAACCGTGGGCCGGGCTTTTGGGTTTGAGAGTCCTACTCCCAAAGATTTGGGCCGGAATGACAAAGCCCAACACGAGGGCATAATCGTAATTTGCACCTATTTTAGAACGGGTTGTTTCAGTTATTCACCGTTATGGCACTGCCGTGGTTCAAATCACGACTGAAAAATGGCAGTATTTGTGTTTGTGTTGCCGAACGAATGATATTGAAATACATAAACCCAAGTCAAGCTTCTTCAATCAACAAGAACAAAGTTTATAATATAATAATGTTGGCTTATGGACTTGAGAAACGATAAAATGCCGGCCAGGATGGCGCAGAGAAAAGTAAGAGAGAGAAAAAGAAACGAACACAAAAGGACAAAGACTATCAAATAAGTTGTAACAATGACTTATTGACGGTGATTACAGGTATTCGACCATCAATAATGTTTTTATTTTAGGTTGACATATGTAAGCATCTAAGAAGTAGCATGACAACAACCACATAATAAACAAAAGTGATAGGAGAAAAGACCCCCAAATGTGAAACAACAACTAAAAACAATTATTCAACGTGGGCGGTAAATGATTCAGCCATTTACAAGATTCAAACGTAAAACTACGATCTATTGGACAGTTGTATTAACTATTAGACGGTGCTCTAATGTAATACATCCAAATGGGGGTGGACTACATAATACACCCCAATGGATTGTTTTAAGCTCCTCTACTGCTAAAACTATTGCAAAATGCGCATTAGGATTATACTTCTATTAGCTGAGCCTTTCCTTACTAGGCAAATGAACCATATAATACACCAAGATGGATGTTATGCAAGTTGGAGTTTGAGCATAATTTTTTTTGTTATCTCATTGTCTCACATTGCAAGAATTAAAAAATTTATAATATAATAACGTTCGCGTATGAACTTGAGAAATGACATATTGCCGGGCGGCCGGCAAGGTGCAGTGAAAGAGAGGAAAGAAAGGAAGAAATGAACACGAAAGGACAAAGACTATCCAATGGATTATAAACAATTACTTGGGGATGATTACAGTTATTCAACTATCAATAATGCATTATTTTAGTTTAGAATTTGGAAGCATTTGAGAAGTAACATGACAACAACCACATAATAAACAAAAGTGATTAGAAAAAGACCCAAATATGAAAGAATAATTAAAAACAATTATTCAAGAAAAGTGATAATGATTAAACCATTTACAAGATATGAACTTAGAACAACAATATATTGGATCATTGTATTAACTATTAAGTGGTGCTGTAATATAATAGATCCAAATGGGGATGGACCATATAATACACCCAAATGGACCATTTTTAGGCTCCACTGCTAAAAACTAATGCAAAATGGGCATTAGGATTAAACTTGTATTAGCTATCTTTCCTTACTAGTCAAATGAACCATATAATACACCCAAATGGATGCCATCATGCCATATATAAACAAAGTTTTGAAAGGACAAGGTAGCTAACGCTGTCTTTTTATATATGTAAGCAACAACCCTAAATCTTATTGGTGCTAATTAACTAATGTATTTATTAGCCAGTTGGATTCCTTAGCTAGTGGTTAACTATTTTTGTTTAGTTTAGTAGTCAGGTCGTAATTAATTAGTCAAATGAACCATATAATACACCCAAATGGATCAAGTTGTAAGTCAACGTAAAAACTTATTCTCAGTTATCAACTTAATCACGTAGATGTGGAAGAAATCGTCTTAGAAAATTGGGATTAAGAACTGAAGTTCTCCTGCAACTCTACACAACTGAAAGCAAGGCTCGCTCAATGGGGCTTGAGTTTTTTAGTGGAAAGAGCAGAGACCTCAGTTTTATACATGGAATTCAATAAGGATCCCTCCCATTAAGTGATCCTTATCAAAAAGTAGCTTTTTCACCGTGAAACACTTATGCATTTTATCAGCTAGAAGAGTTCTAGTTTTACTGAGAATGTATGTGACCCGAAACTGTAAAGAAATACAACTCCTGATAAGGCAGCCACAAGTGTCAATCCTTATCTCCTTGTCATTCCACATGTCTTTAATCAAATCACCAAGTGTTTGCTCTCATATAGAACTTACACAAGTCTCATGTAGTTTCATCAAACTTATTTTCCACAACGGTAAATATATTTCAATGGCTCCGGTTTTCACATGCCAGTCAGTCACATGCCAGTCAGTCACACGCCCAACTCCTCAACGTTCGGGCTCAATGGCTCGAAGAGAGCTTCCACTTCATTCTGATTCACCTCCCTCTTACTTTGACAGGTTCCACTTCGGTTTCTGCATTGACAAAAAACAGAAGCAAAAGATAACGATCTGTTCTGATACAAGGAAAGTAAGATGATTATATAACTGTAGGTCTAGTAAACGCTGTAATGGTTTATGTTGCAGCAACTTCGTCAGCAAGTGATTTTATAGCAAGGAATCTTGAGCATAATTAACGAACCTGATCCTTGTCCACCAAAACTGCCCGTACACCTCCAGCAAAATCATTCCACAAAGACGATCTTATAGCAACGCGATATTCAGTTTTCATCACACCAGTTAGCTGGTATTGGTCAAGTAAAGCACATGTTACTTTCTGAAAATTTGATATACTACAACGCAAAACCTATCAAAAGGATGCAACCATGTGATGCAAGAAACGAAAAGGTAGAAAGTCCAGACTCACTGTGGATAATTGACTGTCATTTTTCCCAAGCACGGATGCAACTTTAGCGAAATAATTTTGTGTCACATAAAGTGAAAACAGAGCACCCTTTCGAAGACCTTAAGGGCACGTTTGTTTGACAGGATTAGCAAGGCTTGGACTGGACTAGACTATAGTCCTGTGTTTGGTGTGCAACCGGATTAGCTTTAATGGGCTTAGGTGGGACTCGCTCGGATTACACGCCTCCTTACGAGTTCTTAACGAAGAACCCCAATTTTGGGCGGACTTGTAAGCTCGGAGAGAAAACCGCGAGGATCCCCAACGTCCTGCTCGTCCTCATCTCTGCGAGGATCCCCAACGTCCCTCGTCCTGCTCGTCGCTCGTCGTCGACCTTGCCCTGCTTCCTCGTCGTCCTCCTCCTCACCCTCATCTCTGCGTCTTCTCGCCCTCATCTGGTCGGAGACAGTCTGGTAAGCTTCAAATCTTCGATTGATTTCGTCGAATTGAGATTAGAATTTGGGGTTTTCATATTTTTAGTTCAAATTGAGATTAGAATTTGGGGTTTTCGTATTTCAACTTTTCTGGTAAACTTCAAAATCAATTTTTAGGTCAAATTGAGATTAGAATCTGTGTGTGTAATCTCTGTGTGTATGTGTGTGTGTGTGCGTGTGTGTGTATACTATGTGTGTGTGTACTCTGGTTTGTCTGTGTGTGTGTGTATACTCTCTGTGTGCGTGTAATCTCTGTTTGTGTGTACTCTGTGTGTGTGTGTGTGTGTGTGTGTGTAAGTGTAATATGTGTGTGTATGTAATCTGTGTGTGTATACTCTGTGTGTGTGTGTGTAATCTGTGTGTGTGTGTGTGTGTATGTATGCAGTGTGTGTGTGTGTGTATGTATGTATGTATGCAGTGTGTGTGTGTGTATGTATGTATGTATGCAGGGTGTGTGTGAGTGTATGTCCGTGTGTGAGAGTGTGTATGTCCGTGTGTGAGAGTGTGTATGTCCGTGTGAGTATGTGTGTGAGTGTGTATGCAGTTGTGTGTGTGTATGCAGTGTGTGTGTGTGTGTGTGTATGTATGCAGGGTGTGTGTGTATGTATGCAGGGTGTGTATGTATGCAGGGTGTGTGTGTATGTATGCAGGGTGTGTGTGAGTGTATGTCAGTGTGTGAGAGTGTGTATGTCCGTGTGAGTGCAGTGTGTGCAGCTGACCAGTGTGTGTGTGTGTATGTATGCCGTGTGTGTGTGTATGTATGCAGTGTGTGTGTGTATGTATGCAATGTGTGTGTGTGTATGTATGCAGTGTGTGTGTGTGTGTATATATGCAGTGTGTGTGTGTGTGTGTGTATGTATGCAGTGTGTGTGTGTATGTATGCAGTGTGTGTGTGTGTGTGTGTGTGTATGTATGTAGTGTGTGTGTATGTATATATGTATGTATGCAGTGTGTGTGTGTGTGTGTGTGTATGTATGCAGTGTGTGTGTGTATGTATGTATGTATGCAGTGTGTGTGTGTGTATGTATGTATGTATGCAGGGTGTGTGTGAGTGTATGTCCGTGTGTGAGAGTGTGTATGTCTGTGTGAGTATGTGTGTGAGTGTGTATGCAGTGTGTGTGTGTATGTATGTATGCAGTGTGTGTGTGTGTGTGTATGTATGCCGTGTGTGTGTGTGTGTGTATGTATGCAGTGTGTGTGTGTGTATGTATGCAATGTGTGTGTGTATGCAGTGTGAGTGTGTGTGTGTGTGTATGTATGTATGCAGTGTGTGTGTGTGTGTGTGTGTGTGTGCAGTGTGTGTATGTATGCAGTGTGTGTGTGTGTGTATGTATGTATGCAGGGTGTGTGTGAGTGTATGTCCGTGTGTGAGAGTGTGTATGTCCGTGTGTGTGTGTTAGTGTGAGTGTGAGTGTGAGTATGTATGTGTATTTTGCACATTTGTCCATGAGTGTGTGTGTGTGTACTTGGTTTATAACCATGATATTACAATGTGAATGTTTTGTATTGTGTGGGGTTGATGCTGAATTGCAATTTTTTGTGGTTGTTGGTTGCAGAGAAGAGGAGCATAAACGGAAGGCTAAGGCTAAGGCTACTGCATTACAGGTGTCCTTTAATTTCCCTCTTCACATGCAATGCCTAGCAATGATAGCAATCCTCATACTAGTGTTTTTAGACACATGTTTATAGATGTATAAGAGTAGAACATTTTGAATATGATGTCTCGGGTTAATGATAACTTTTTTTTTTCAACGCCACCTGTGTATATTTGTTGCCTCGGGTTAATGATAACTTTTTTTTTTTCAACGCCACCTGTATATTTGTTGCCTCGGGTTAATGATAACTTTTTTTTTTCCAACACCACCCGTATATTTGATGCCTCGGATTGTGACTTCGCTAGTTACTTTGATCTAGTTCATTTCGTATCATAATCACTTCATTTCCATCACCCTTAATAACAGTAAATATTACATATATAATGTCCTTAATTTGTTTTTTTGTTTTTTTTTTTGTTTGGATAGATATGGATCGAAGGAAGCTTTTATTGATCTTATTGTTAGAGATGTCTTATTTGGAGACAATTTGCATTTGTACGATTCTTGTGTTGATGATGCTACGTGGCAAACAGAGACATGTTTGAACGACCCACATTGACTAACCGTTAACTTATTAGATGAGAGATTAGTTTGTGTTATCTGAATGGTATAATAGGGAATACTGATACTGAATGTGTCAACGAATTGAGAATGGATAGAAGGACTTTTGGCATATTATGTGACTTACTTCGTCAAGATGGGAGGGTAAAAACTGATGGTTTTGGTGTCTGTAGAGGAGCAGGTGTGTATGACTTTACAAATATTAGCACATCATACTAAGAATCGTAGTGTTGGCGGTAGATTTTATAGGTCGGGAGAGACTATAAGTAGGTATTTCAATAGCGTATTGCAAGGAATTTTGCGATTACAAGGTATCCTACTAAAAGTCCCTCAGCCTGTGCCTATTGATTCTACAAATCCTAGGTGGCAATGTTTTAAGGTATGATGAGAATTTTTTTTCATTTTCCCTAAGCTTTAACTCTTCATTCCCTTTGTATAAATTAACAAAAACTTTTTTTTTTTTTTTTTTTTTTTTTTTAAGAATTGCTTGGGAGCATTGGATGGAACACACATTGATGTGCATGTACTTGAAATTGACAAACCAAGATACCGAACAAGAAAGGGTCGAGTCGCAACTAATGTGTTAGGTGTGTGTTCAGGAGATATGCAGTTCATATATGTGTTTCCGGGGTGGGAGGGTTCCGCATCAGACTCTAGAGTGCTACATGATGCAATTACTAGACCTAATGATTTTAAGGTACCAGCGGGTAAGACTATTACTTAGTCTCAACTTTGTAAGTTAGGTCTAGTTCTGTTTGTCAACTACAAAACACTAATAAGGTCTGTTTTTTTTTTCATTAGGTTATTATTACCTTGTAGATAGTGGTTATACAAATGGTGAAGGATTCCTTGCACCCTATAGAGGAATACCTTATCATTTATCTGAATGGGAGGGACGAACACCTTCTAATAAGGAAGAATATTTTAACATGAAGCATTCTAAGGCAAGGAATGTAATTGAACGCTGTTTTGGCTTGCTAAAAGGAAAGTGGTCGATACTAAGGAGTCCATCTTTCTATCCGATAAGAACACAAGGTCGAATAATTACCGCTTGTTGCCTACTACACAATCTTATTAGGCAAGAGATGTCTGTAGATCCAATGGAGAATTTGCCAATAATAGAAGATGGACAAAAATACAGAAGAAGGTGAATATGTTGGTAGTGTTCAAACATCTGACCAGTGGACTGCAAAGAGAATGATATGGCTCAGGAAATGTATAACGAGTGGAGAGCAATTAGGAACCAGCAACCGAACTAGCTATATGTGTTAATGATAACATTTTATTTTAGTATTCCTTTTTATCATGCAATTGTTAGATATTAGCACAATGATTGGATGGTATGCAAATTAATTGGATATTATGCAAGTTGATTGGATATTATGCAAATTGATTATTTGTATGGTATTTTCCTTCATTAAAATATTTTTTGTTTAGGTATGGATAACGAAAATATTTTGAATGCTACTCAAGAGCCAAAAGGAAGAAGGCGTAAATGGGAAGCATTTGAGGAAGAAGTATTACTAGGAGTTCTTGAGGATTTTGTTGCTCGGAAGCAACGGTGTGACACCGGTGCTTTCAAACAAGGTACTTTGGTTGAAATAGCAAAGCTGTCAATGTTTTATGTCCTCATTCAAATATAAAAGCAAATCCACATATTGAGTCCAAGTTGAAGAAATGGAAAAAAACATATAGTATGGTCGTTGACATGATAAACACAAGTGGATTTGCATGGAATGATGTCAAAAAGTGCGTTGAAGTTGACAGTGATGACTCATGGCAAACTTATGTGCAGGTTCATATCCTATTTTATTTATACATTAGTTATATTATTGCTGCTATATTTGTTACGCATGCTAAATTTTAGTTTCGCTATGTTGATATAATCTTAGAGAAATAAAGAAGCCGATGGATGGAGAAGCAAACTTTTTCCACTGTTTGATAGATTTGCATATATATTTGGAAAAGATCGGGCTACGGGTAATGTAGCCGAAACCCCTGCTCAAATGGTGGAGGAACAAAGTCATGATCATGTTGGTGAAAGTGATATTGGAGGTGAAAATTTTGTTTCTTCAATGAACCAACAAAGCCAACAAAGCACCCCATCTGAAAATAGCCAAAGAAAGAGGAAAAGAGTTGTGGGAAGTTCAAGTGATGGAACCGAGGCAATTATCAGTGGACTGAAAGATTTTTATGTTGAAAGTGGGAAGAGGATGCAAATGGTAACTGAAGCTTTAGTTCAAGGTACTGCAGATCATACTGACATAGCTAATGAACTTGAAGCAATGGGTCTCTCTCCTATGGATCAAATTGATGCATTGTCTCTTATTTTGGATAAACCAAAAAATGTGGGAGTGTTCAGGGCAATCAAACCGGAATTCAAGAAAGTGTTCATCCAAAGGCTTTTAAGCGACAACGCAAGCGGATGAGGATTTTGGCTAATGTTAACATGGATGTATTTTATTAATGTTAACATGGATGTATTTTATTAATCATACAATCTTATGTTATGGCTTATAACTTAGCTTTGCACTAGTATTTTGGCTTATGTTAACTAGCCATTTTGTAAATTATGGAGATCTATTTTGGCTAATGTTTAACTAATGTTAACTAGGATTTTCTAATTATGGAGATCTTCTTATGTACTTGTATTTGTTGAAGTTGCATGTATTGGGCACTATTATTTTTCTTTCTGTTGGGTGATAGAGTTTTAAACCAAGCTACATTTGCAAATTAAACCCAATTCTATTAGCAGGTAATAGAAACAAAACAATTGTCAATTTTTTTTAAGATTCATAATATACATGGCAAAAATATGCTCCAATTAACCCATATCATGAGATTTGTAGCATTACTCTATTACACAATGGCAAAAATTTGTAGTCCTAATCTAAGCAAACACAAATCTGGTGAACAGTACTGTTTTTCTTATCCTGCTTCTTAGTCCGACATTACACCAAACGCTTCACTAAGTTAGTCCAGCTTAGTCCAGTCTAAGCCAGTCCAGCTTAGTCCCGGCAGCTAGTCCAGTCCGAGACAGTCCGGCGCAACAAACGCACCCTAAGAGCTTCGTTAGCCCACTCACCACTGCAATAGAAACAATTTGATACAAAACACTTGACAGCAACATCCAAGCCACTCAATAGACAAATGGCATTGACAAACTTACCAGTAGCATCTGAACTCTGATGCTGCTTTTTAAGTTCATCAATTGTCTCAAGAACCAACTTATCTGCACCAAATGCTGAAGTTATTTGAGGAAAAAGAGTCTTGAGTTGAGCTTCAGAATCTGGGTTGCTGGTGAATTTCACCACAGTTGTTTCAATGTCCTGATGGGGAGCCTGGGAACTGCATCAACAATGGAGTTGCTTTTATCTCAACAAACGCATTGGACAATGTGATGATGCCAACTAAAGTTAACTCCACTAAAGCATCGGAAATTGTGTCTGAGGATGGAAAAGGCATACCTGCAGATCCTCCTCCCGGACTCTTTGCCTCTATATGTGAAAACCCATTTGGGAACAAACCAATTCCGTTCTCTGGCATAGCAAGAACAGTCCTCTGAAATGTATCCATACAAAGTTCGACACACAAAATTCAAAAAGCCATTGCAATGTAATTGACAACATTGACAATCTCTGTCTGACAAGGCAATAAGACCTCTGTAATGATCCGGTAGCGACCGTGACCTGATAGGCCAATACCAAAGCCCACTGTTATGCCATCCATGAAGCTTATGTGGGCTTCTTGTACTCAGAGATTTTGCATATTAGAGAATACTCAGCAGTGAATACCTGAAAAACGTGCAGCACAAATATCATATTGGTAGCCTCTCAAATCTTAAGAAAACTACAAATGGTAGCTTAGAAAAGAAATGAATCCTCTCCAACCAATACAAATCATATTACCCAAGTTCAAGCAAAATCAAGACTAAACAAATGACCAGATGTTGTAGGTTGCCTGAGAATGTCAAACATGAAACTACAAAAGAAAAAAATAATCGTATGTATTGAACATTAATAAATACATGCTGAAAGCACAATCTTAGCCGCAATTTATGACATCTATACAAGATTGAATCGCCAAAGCAATTAAAGAAATTGCAGAGCTCATATAAGTGATTTTCCTTTTAACTTTTAGGCTTATCAACAAATACATCATTACGATTAATGCATGAATTTTGTTAAAAGGGGCATGCTTGCTTGTATTAAGGCTTAATCATCAATGATTTTGCAAGGGTCAATCGTATTGCTAGTTGTAAATCTATTCATTATGAAAATTACCAAAATTACATCTAATATGGTAGTGAAGGAAGTCATCTTATATTATCTGGATTTTAGAAAACTGGGTAAAGTTATAAGTCTGTTATTATATATAGTTAAAAGGACAATTAGACCTCAATCATATTCGGTGGTTGGTTTTTGGCCGTGATCTGCTTCACATCACCGCCTGGAGGTAAACTAAATCTGGGTTATTACTTATCAATGAATCAACGTGCCAACTTAACGGACACCATCTATCTCTATATGGCAAAAAAACAACACAAAAAGGAACAATGAAGTGAAACAATAAACAACATGACATGAAACAACACGAACATCAAAGACCAACAATCTATCACATAAGGTCACTCTTAAAACCTTACCTAAGAGACCCAAAAACAAAAATAACCGCCGAACGAGCTAAACATACATATCTAGAAAAACTTATTTAACTGCATGCCAAAATGGAAGTGTAAAATTGCCAAGAAAGATAAGAAACTAATCAGATACGAATTCTGGGCGTTACCACCACAAAAGGCACGAGCGGAGCGGCTATCAACAAGAACACACTTCACATTTGGGTCAGATTCCCATTCATCCAGATAGCTCTTGTATTTCACATCCATATCTGCATTTTCCAACAATTCCCACTTAAACAGAAACACAAAATTCTTAAAAAATAAAAAGCTAGCTTCTTCGAAATTTGAATCCAACGATTCGTCTTATAACAAATGCAAGAACATAGATTTTTACTCAATAAGATGCCATAAAGTTAAAGCTCAAAAATTCAAATCAGCTCCAAATCAAAAGCATTTACAGATACATACATATATACATATGCGTGTGTGTGTGTTTATCTACATACCTAGGTTCATGGCGTTGAGAGCTCGGGGGGCGACCGAGGGTGATGTCGGCGACGCCATTTGGGTGGACGCTGCCCTTGACGAACACGTCGGTGGAGGCCATGATCCCGAAGGTGCGGAGACGGCAAGGGGATTTGGAGGGTTTGTAAAGAGAGAGCTTCAAATTTGGACTGAGGAAGAAGAAAGCGGACGACTATTTGCTCAGAATTTGGGTCGCTCGTCAATACGCTTCCCATTACTCGCTCGTCAATACGCTTCCCATTACTTCCGTTTGAGAGTGACTGTCAGTGTCGAGAGAGAGATATTTTTGGTGCTTCTGGACAGGACTACCCTTGATGTTTCGGTTAAATTACCGGGAAAAAGAACTGCCGCGGTGGCTACGGAGGGAAAGTTTAAATTTGAAAGGAGTATGAAGTATGGACTTGCCTTCATTTATTGAAATGAGAAATCGAAAACTGAAAGAGGCGTTTGACGAACTGATTGTGATCTGACTCAAGCATGTGATGATGACGATGCATCACCACCTTGGCTGTGCCTCTGGATCAAAAACCTACCATCACCATCAAAATCGTGGATATTTTCCTTCATAGGTTTGTCCCATACTAGATTAACCCCTGTTCCCTGAATTGTCGGATAATAATTTTTATAGCCCATCTCTGGCATTTCAAAAGTTATATCAACTTTATCCCCACTTTGCAAATTGAGCTTACCGTTTGATATTTGTCCCTGCCAAAGAAAACATTCTTCAAATTTGCGCATTTTTATAACCCAATCCTCCTTGCCTATGCAGGTCTGCCACCTAGTACGCTTGGTATTATTTATATCAATACTGACACGAGGATGACCACCTTTACATCTGATATGAGAGCTTGACTGATGAAGATCTGAGGTATAAAAGCATAACAGAGTCAGCCCTTCAAAATTACGACCATCACTCGGGGGGATATCAAAACGGACTTTATAACGGTTGTTGACAAACTCGAACCAATCAGGAACATAATTTCCATTGAGAAAAATGCCACCATATCCGCAAGAAGTCCATCCCTATACATACAGTGCAAGTGTCATATACATGTACATGTGTGTTGTGTGTGTGCATGTGCGCAATAGGAAGGCAATTAAAGAGAGATACCTTTAGGATGTTCCTCTTAAAATCATCTGTGAGTTTGGGGCAGTCCCTCATATCAATCCATGTCATGGAGTATAATGACTTATCCAAGTCTGGAACCTCAGTGAGTGCGTCTGAATCACATACAATCAGTTCTCTCATATTCAACATTTTCGAAAAATTGGGCATTGTTACCAAATGAAGGCAATTAGACGCATCCAGAAATTTTAAATTCGTTGGCAAATCAGAAATTGTAGGAAGCCCGAAGCAATGATGTAACCAGAGACTTTCGAGCTTTGAAAGATCACTCAGGCTGGGTAGGGTATGAAGGTAATGGCAGTTACTTAACTGCAAACTTTCAAGCTTTGAAAGACCACTGAGGCTGGGTAGGGTATGAAGGTTACGGCAGTTACTTAACTGCAAACTTTCAAGCTTTGAAAGACCACTGAGGCTGGGTAGGGTATGAAGGTTACGACAGTTACTTAACTGCAAACTTTCAAGCTTTGAAAGACCACTGAGGCTGGGTAGGGTATGAAGGTTATGGCAGTTACTTAACTGCAAACTTTCAAGCTTTGAAAGACCACTGAGGCTGGGTAGGGTATCAAAATCATTGTTTGAGAGATCTAAATTTCTTAAAGAGTCTAAGCCATGTAACGAATCGGGAAATCGCAAAGAAAACACCGAATAGGGAAATCGCAAATGAAACTCCGATCCCACATCCACTAGAGATAAATGAGTGAGATTCTTCAACCTTACTATGGAACGTGGTACTTGTCTTATGGCTGTGGCAGATGCTTTAAGTACTCTCAATGATATCATCTTCCCTAAATCCTTGGGCAGTTCACTGAATTGCGAACAATAATCAAGAACAAGAGTCTGAACGGATTTGGACTTGTAGAAATCCCCAGGAAGAGAAATAAGATTCTTGCAGCCTTTGAGGTTCACCAAAGAAAGTTTTCTAAGATGAACAATGGAGGGGTGAATCTCGGACAAACTCTTACACCCTTGCAATATCAACTCTTCAAGATTTGGGACATTTGAAAAGTCTGGTGATTTTCTCAAGTCATCGCAACAACTGAGATTAAGGATTTTCAAGTTTCCAAGCGACTATTGCACAAAATCAAAGGAAAATTAAAATTAATATCCAAAGGGAATATCTCATAAAAAAAGAGAAGGAAATCCAAAAACAAATCGAAATATAACATCATCATGTGTAATCGATTGTACCTTGGAGCCCTCCCAAACTTGTACCAGTCTGCTAAACGTTATCTCTAAAATAACTAGTGCTCTTGGTTGATCAAAGAAGTCATCAGGTATGGACTTTAAACGGCATCCATTCCAACGCAACCATATTAACTCTTTGGAAAGATGTTTGTATTCTCCATTGAGCTGCACCTTCATGAGCGTGAGCAGTCTCAGTTTCTTCATATTGGCAAATGCTTCTGTACGGAAACAACTAGACTCTTTGGAGCTTTTAAACCAAGGATCAGGGAAATGTAGAGCAAGTCCTTCAACTTCTTCAGTTCCCTGTTAACAAAAGGTTATATTCATGTGTAAGAAACGGATTATTTGCATACGTTTACATGTATGAATACATGCAAGTACTATTGTTGGCTAATTGAGATGAATGTTACTTAATGTATAATACACATCCGTGAGTCATATGTGCTTTTCATGTATGATGCATTAAATTCAAAATTTTATTAGGAATGTACTTACAGAGTTATCTCTCAATACTTTAGTGACCTCTTGACGGTTCCACAACCTACTCCATTTTCCAGGGTGACGAGGAAATTTTTCAGAAATGATTAATTTGGCCATTTCTCGAAGCAAATCATGCATATTCAACCTGTTGTGTTCAACAGTTACAAGGCATCGTTCACGAAGGTCACTGATTCCTGCTGTTGCAAAAAACTCACATCCATCTAATATTTTTGCGACATAGTCCTTATCCCATCCAATAAAGAAACAAGATATGTCAAGTAATATATCTTTCTGTGCAGGATCTAGCCCTTCAAAGCTTACTCTTAGCGCTTTCATTATTCCTTCATCAGGAAATTTTTTCAATTTCTCCGACTGACTTTTCCACTCTGTTGGGGTTCTTTCAATCATAGAAGAACCTAAAACTTCAAGGGCTAGTGGCAAACCACCACAGTAAAAAACAACCTCTTTTGATAGTTCAAGATATCCTTCATCAGGCCAACTATTCCCAAAGGCATGCCAACTAAAGAGCTTCAGAGCTTCTTCTTCATTCATTTCCTTAAGTGGATATGTCTTGTCCACTTTCATGTTCACTTGCTTTAGTAAACGTTCATCTCGTGTCGTTATGATAATTCTACTTCCTGGGCCAAACCAATCACGATTTCCAGCTATTGCATTTAGCTGTTCCACTTTGTTTACATTGTCAATAATGACAAGTACACTTCTACGTTGGAGATGATTTTTTATCAAACTGATACCTCTATCAACACTGGTTATCTTAGACTCGGTCTGTTTCAAGATGTCAGAAACAAGTTTTCCTTGCAAATCAACCAGATCATATGCACTAACGTTGGCAAGGAAACTTTTGAATTGGAACTTATGATGAATTTGGTTATAAATGGCTTTGGCAGCTGTTGTTTTACCCAATCCACCCATCCCCCAAATTCCAACCATGACAACGTCATTTGATCCACCACCTGAAAGATAACTGATAATATCTTGAATGCGAGAATTGATTCCAACTGGGTGCTTGGCCACATTTAATTTGTTTGCGCTCGGAAGCCATTCCGTAATGATCATGCCAACAATTTCTCTAATAAGCTTTGCTTCGCGCCTGAAAATTAAATTCATAAGCATTAGTGGGACTCAATGAACAGTAGGAGCTATCAGTCCTTAGACAATTTTCTTGCCAACAATTTTTTTTCTCTAAAAGCCATTCCGTAATGATTTTTTGACCAACTTGATAAAAGGAAGAAATTCATTCATTAATCAAACTCCAATTACGGTTTAGGTTTTATACAAGAGGTTAAGGTGTATTAATTAAGCATGTTAATTAATGTTTAATTAGCTTCTGTAAAATGTTGATTAAGCATGTTAATTATATGAGAGATTAAGTCATTCACTAAAATGTTTCAAATCTTGAAAAGCAGGTGAATGATTACCCATTGTCTGTGATTTGAACATGTTGGCCAGACAAATTTGCAGCTTCTGTAAGAGCCTTTCTCCATTGCTTTACCCTTTGTTGTTTAGCTCCACGTTCCTTGTCATCTTTTTCTTCACGGATGCCCTCTTCGTGCTTCTGAAATGCTTGAGCTAAATCTCCGTTCTGCTTCCTAACATGTGAAGGATCAACATGATAGAATATTGGCAAAACACGTCGCCCCAGTTTGTATCTGCACTCCATGATCTTCACCAGCTCGTCAAGACACCAACTCGAGTCCGCATAACTCTTTGAGAAGACAATGATAGAGATCCTCGCCACTTCGATTGCCCGGAACAGTTCCTCTTTTATTTCTTCCATTCTTTCTAGATTGTCCTCATCGATATAAGCCTGGTATCCCCTGTCTGTTAATGCCGCATGGAGGTGGCCCGTGAAACCATTGCGTGTGTCTACACCACTGAAGCTCGAGAACACGTCGTAATTCCAAAGTTTGACTTGGAGGAGGATGAAGAGGAGGCTTCGTGGGTTGTCATGGCGGTATCCACCATTATGGCACTGCAGTGGTTCAGATCACGACTGAAAAATGGCAGTAGTTGTGTTCGTGCTGTCGAACGGATGATCCTGAAATACCGAAACCCAAGTCAAGCTCCTTCAGTCAACAAGAACAAAGTTTATAATATAATAATGTTGGCATTTGGACTTGAGAAACGACATAATGTTGGCTGGAAGGTGCAGAGAAAGAGAGAGGAAAAGAGGAACGAAAGGACGAAGATTATCCAAAAGATTCTTGGCTGTGATTACAGCTATTCATAGGAGCAACAACGGACATATTTTCAGAGGAGAAACAACCTGCCCATCTTCATACATAATAATACATTTCAATGGACATATTTTAATAGGAGAAACAACTTTAGTTTGTACTAGAAATTTTTACCCGCGCGTTGTTGCGGGATTTGAAATTGTATGAAAGATTATCTTTGAAATATATAATGGATTGTGTGATTGAAGATTAATACTATTTACATAGAAAATGTTGGAAAAGGTTTTACATACAAAAGATTTTACGATAAAATCCACATACAAAAGATGGTAAATTTTTTTCTATCTACATGCATTATGTTATGGAATGATAAATATACCTATATATATAACTAAGTTCCAGAATACGTAAACTTCATAACTTGGAATTTTTTTTACAAATTAATCAGATTCAACAGTGGGATAGCAAGGTCGCCTATAAAGTTGTGAAGTCGTGGAAGCATAAAGGACAAATAACAAATGAGCTTTGAGAAATTAATCCACAAATGTCATTCTGCAAAATGTATTAAAGACGATTGGTACAAGATCAGCAATCATGAGTAGTGTATCAACATCAACAAAATAACTATAAACCATAGTTGAACATAAATCAAAATTCGTTTACAAAAACAAAAGAAAAAGAAAACAGACTTACAATAATTCAACCTTCAATCCTGAAGTCCTACTCAAAGAGCCAAACTTGAATGCAAGCTTTCTGAAATTTTCCAAACAATACAGATAAAAAGGTAACACCCTAGTCAGAAATGAACCGAGGGGCGAGCTTTCTAAGAAGCCCAGATGACAAAATCAACTAAATAGAATGGAAAAATGACTTACACTTTTAAGGCATGTTCGAATCTTGATCTAAAATTGGTGGTGGGTCGATTGTTGGTCACCAACTCTAAATGAAGAATTCATCAGAACCTAGAAATTTAGACAAAGAATTTTCCAAAATCAACATTTACTAAAAACCAGTTACTTGGTTATCATGCATGATGGCTTGCCAAAGACTGAATTAAGGAATGCACAACTTTACTTTTATGATTATTTTCAATGACAGCTAAAAGTGATATCTTAGTTGATCATGATGAAAATTAAGCAGATTAAATGACGACCTATAAAGCATACAAATTCAGAAAAGAAAAGGTTCAAAACTGCCATAAGAAAACGCAGAATATATAAACGGGAAATCAAAAGAAAAGAAGCGAAAAAGGAAGAAAAAACCAAACAAAAATATTAAGCTTGGATATATCTTTATCTGAAAGGTCACAATCATCAAAGTCGAACACAAACAATCCAAAAACTTGTGGAAAATACCAATAAATGCTCAACTAAAAACGAAAGAAAACGTAGAATAAGTTTACCTGTTCTTCCCCTAATTAAACTGGAATACAATTCACCACTGATATTCTCATCATCCTCTTCAGCCTGAAAAAATTAGTAGAACATAATGATAAGAATCTAGCAGTATTTTCCATTGTTTAAAACCCAAATTCCAGAAATCATGAAAAATGGAAACTTTATATGGAAATTGAAGCTTTACCTGCAGATCAGCAGCAGCAAACGGAAACCAACGGCATCTACCTCAAAAGTGAGAGGGAGAGAGAGAGAGCTAAGAGACGACTGAGAGAATCGATAAACAAAACGCCCAAAATCACAAAAGGAAATTTGAACAGAACAAATTTGCAAATCCAAAATCACAAAAACGAAATTGAAACACCCACACTGATAAAGCTGTAATACTCACCAGGAAGCTAGCTTTTCTGGGTAAAAAAATTATTCGAATCAAACTGAACTACCAAGGAAAATTCTACTGGTTCAGTGGTTTTTCCAGCAAGAAAGCACCTTGTTTGTAATTCGTGAGAGGTTGGACAGCGAGAGAGAAAAACGAAATGGAAAGGAAAAGCGGAGAAGAAGTCACGATTATCGACGCGTGGGTAGCATTCCACTGTGCCAAGGCCAAGGACGAAAATGAACGGGGAATGGAGAGCTGGCTGAGGGAGACAATTCGCGAAGCGTTCTGATTTTTTTTTACGAGAGCAAGCGGAATGAAGAGAATCGAAAAGAGGAGGAATCATTTTAAGGGATGATCGGAGCGTGGGGATTGAGGGCAAATTTGCCATTTTGCTGTGAACCCATCCATTGAAGAAGGAGGACGATTGTCTGCCCTCGCACTTATCGTGACCTCCGTGTGATCACGGTTAAGCTACGTCAATATTTTATATTATTTTTTATAGAGATAATAAGATAAAAATAAATAGTAATATAAAATGTTGACGTGACTTAACCGTGACCACACAAACAAGAGGGGAGTGGGAGGGCAGACAATCCTCCTCCATTGAACAAAGAAGCATCAAAATACACAAAAGTCAAGGCTTGGCTTGGTTTATATAATTAATCAATAATATTCCATAACAAGAGCTAGGTTCATGGCCTGGCAAACTGGTCGTGTATGTCTTGTTCATATCATTTTCGTGTAACACCTGTTATCTTAACGGGTCGTGTCGTGTCACACCCGTTATCTTAACGGGTCCTTAACAGGTCATGTCACTTTACCCAACGGGTAAAGTGACCTGACCCGTTATGACCCGTTAAGAAAAAAAAAATTTTAATTTGCACATACCACATATTGCCACATAAATATTACTTCAAAACATTAAAACATTTGTCATTTAAGTACTATAACTACACTCGAAAATAAGAGCCTAATAAAAAATTAATACATACACTACTAATCTATTACAAATATTAAATGTGCAAGGATATGCAAAATGAAAGAGTTTTTGTTTTCAAGGTTGTAAGTCTTTCTCAAAAGATTAAATCTCAGCTAATCCAAATGGTCATCAATTTTTTAAATTTAATTTAATATATATAATTATATTATATAATTACTATAGTTTTTAGGGGTATAAAATTGTTAAATTAATATATATATATATATAATTATTATAGTTGATTCATACTTTTATTAAGTATATAACATAAGATTTTGTGATATCCACATCCACTAATGTAAATATTTTAAATTGAAGATCGAATTCATTCTTTGTATTCATATATGGTCAAGGACTGTAGCTGTAAAAAATTATCAGAATCGGAGTTAAAATAACCGTTAAATCGTGATTTTTCGTTTATAACCGTCGAAAAGTTTTGTCCCGTTACTTGATCTCTGAATGTTTGTTTTTTGTGATTTTTTGCTTATGTGATCTTGAAGCATATACAAACAAGTTTAACGGTTGGGATCGTTGAAATTAGTTTCGGAGAATTCGTATCCCATCAAAACAATAGATTGACTAACACTTAAGAGTTTATTTATACTTTCATTAAGTATAACATAAGATTTTGTGGTATCCACTTGTGTAAATATTTCAAATTGAAGATCGAATTCATTCTTTGTATTCATATAGGGTCAAGGAGTGTAGTTGTAAAAAATCATCAAAAGCGGAGTTAAAATAACCGTTAAATCATAATTTTTCATTTATAACCGTCGAAAAGTTTTGTCCCGTTACTTGATCTCTGAATGTTTGTTTTTTCTGATTTTTTTGCTGATGTGATCTCGAAGCATATACAAACAAGTTTGACGGTTGGGATCGTGGAAATTAGTTTCGGAGAATTCGTATCCAATCAAAACAATAGATCGACTAACACTTAGAGTTTATTTATACTTTCATTAAGTATAACATAAGATTTTATGGTATCCACTTGTGTAAATATTTTAAATTGAAGATCGAATTTATTCATTGTATTCATATAGGGACAAGGACTGTAGCTGTAAAAAATCATCAAAATCGGAGTTAAAATAACCGTTAAATCGTGATTTTTCGTTTATAACCGTCGAAAAGATTTGTCCCGTTACTTGATCTCTAAATGCTTGTTTTTTGTGATTTTTTGCTGATGTGATCTTGAAGCATATACAAACAAGTTTGACGGTTGGGATCGTTAAAATTTGTTTCGGATAATTCGTATCCCATCAAGTTCAATGGTGTATGTGTGTGTGTATATATATATATATTTATGAAGTAGATTTAAATCTATTTATTTTGTATGTATAATTGACCGGTACACAGAGTAGTACATTACGTGACACACCCCGTCCCGAAGGAGGGCATGCTGGCCGTCACGTGAGAGTGACGTAACCATTTGCACAGTACGGAAGCTTTAAGATACAATTTATAAGTTGATACACCCGAAGGTGAGTCCTAATTTTGTTCAAACTGTCAGAACACCGTCGAATTCCTCGTAGTCACCACACCTTTGTGATTCCTGAACCTGGAGGGGCGCAAAACCAAAATTGAGTGGGTCAGTAAAACAATTCTTTTCCAAATCCAAACATTTCTCAAAACGTTATAACCCCTCTCCGTAAAACTTGTATACTTTCCCAGAAATGTAAAATATAAATATACATATATATTCTCAAACTTCATTTTTACTATCTCAACATTTTTCTTTAACAATCATGCCATGCCATGTCTAATTCAACAGTTAAGTATGGATGCATCAACAATAATCATATCAGGTGCAAGAAAGTAATCAACCGGAGGCCCTCTAATAGCCCTGTACGGTTGAACCTAGAGCTCAAAATCTATCACTCTCACTCTGCCGGAGTCACCAACTGTGACCTGTACGGCCTATTGCCGGAGTCACTAGCTGTAACATGTACGGCCTTCTGCACATAAGTCGGAACCACCTAATGTAGTCTGTACGACTCAATGGTTAATATTACGCTCTAGTGCTTTCTCATCAATCATCTGTGCACATAATCTAAGGTCACCCACCAGTCGAAATCTCACTAACACTTTTCGACTGGCCCGTCGCACCCACTCCGCGTGGACTGTGCGACCAGCATCTACTTGGATCCAAGGCGAGCGTGCGATGCGGTGAATACTATAAGCACTAAACCATGGTGCAGGATTTGAGCTCAATATACATCAACATCATCATAACAGTAATTAAATACTCACCTAATACTCACCTGTGCGTCCGCCGCACCATTCATTCATATGCATCATATATCTCAAATCATACTTTTCATATCATTTCATGCATGGCAATTCAATTTACATTTCCATATATTTCATATACTTCTATGCATGACCTTTCAATTCACGTTTTCATATAATTCTATATACCTTTCAATTAAAACATAATTTCATTCTAATTCAATTTCTGGGAAAACGTCAAGTATATATATATACGGAAAACAAAACTGCCCACTCACAGATTACATCGACGTCTCGTAGGTCCCTGAGCATCCCTTGGCCATGCCCGACGCCCGCATAAGCCTCACCTAAACAAAAGTAACCAATTTGACGTTATTTAACGCCTAACCCAATTCTTAGCTAATAACTCCTCATATATTGCTCAAATTGGGTATATGAATATACCACCGTGACCTACACAACCTCAGGATCATCCCCATATTTTTAAAATAATTTTTGGAGTCCTCACGCGCCCCCACGCGCCTGACGTGGCACGGACCTACGCGCCCCCCACGCGCGGCCACGTGCCGTGCACACTGACGGCACAGTAACGGCAGTTAGGGAATATTCCGTTAAATCCTAGCATATTCCGTTAAACTTAACCTTTTTCCGTTACTGCCGTTAGGAATATTCCGTTAAATATAACGGAATATTCTCCTTTCTTCTCCGGCGGTCCTTCGCCGGACTCCGGTCGCCGGAAAACTGGAAAAACTTTAAACTCACTATTCTCCTTCGTTTTTCGTCCAAATTTTTCGTACCTTATACCAAATTGAAGCCCTAAACATCTACTATCGCATTGGACTAGTTTTAAGGCCTAAAAACAACGAGATCATACCTTTCCAATAATTCCAAAATTCGGCCAAACTCGAACCAAGTGATCCCGACGTCCAAATCATGCCAACGAAGCACTTCGAGCTTCCTTGGGACTTTCTAAAGCTCGCTGTGATCTTGTTTTAGCCTAAAACGTAGTCATTTAGAAGATCATGAACATTACATATTCACGGCAACTTTAGAAACTGGGGTTTTCGAAGTGAAACTTACCTTAAACTGGTACCTACGTGATCGTGGAGTCCTCAGGAGTGCAATGGTGGTTTTAAATCCGGCGTTGGTATTAGTTTTAGGTGGTTTTGATGGTTGCCCGTGTGTTCGAGAGGGTGAGAGAGAGAGAGTGAGGTCTGAGGAAGAGAGAGAGAGTGTGAAGGACAGTATACGGGAAATGAGGAGGGAATTAGGGTGTGAGGCCCTACCTGAACCCCAAACACAAAATCAAACGTAGAAATGTAAACCTAAATCCTAGTTTAAGTTCCTAACACCAAATAACTTAGGAACTTTAAGTAAAACCAATTGTTAAATTTTCGCCCCTTAGTCCCGTTTAAGGGCATTTTCGTCTTTTCACGTCCTCAGAATTAAAATTCCGGGACGGGCTGTGACATTACGTGTCATTATAAAAATAGTGGGATATATCATATGTGCGATAAAAAGTTAATAACTTAAAAAAAAATATTCTCACCACTACACTTCTATTAATTTTCATTTTTCCCTCTCTTTTTTGTTTCCTTTTCAACTTTTCATATAATTTTCACTTTTCCCTCCACCCTATCCATCCATCTTTCCCTAATTCCCTCTCTTTTTTGTTTCCTTTTCAACTTTTCATATAATTTTCACTTTTCCCTCCACCCTATCCATCCATCTTTCCCTAATTCCCTCTCTTTTTTGTTTCCTTTTCAACTTTTCTTATCATTTTCATTTTCCCTCCCTTTTTCTTCAAAAAGGGTGGCACTGCAGCAGGGAATGGAATGGATCAATTATGGAATCAAAATTCAAATCAATGGATGCATACATATTAATTAATAATTATTATAGTTTTTATAATTCAAAATTTAATCTATATATATAATTATTATAGATAGTTAATATTTTGGGGTATAATTATTATAGTATATATAATTATTATAATTATTATAGTTCATTTAATATATATATATATATTTATTATAGTTTTTAGGGGTATAAAATTGTTAAATTAATATATATAATTATTACAATATTTTTTTAGGATTATAAAATTATAAGATTAATATTCTGCTTATCGTGTATTGTGTTAACCACGTGTATACCCGAATCAACCCGTTATCTTAACAGGTGCTTATCGGGTTACCCGATAACGACCTGATTCGTTATCGTGTCGACCCGAACACCTGTTAATTTCGTGTCGTGTCGTGTTGGGTTATCGGGTCGTGTCAGGAATTGCCAAGCCGGCGTTCATATATTATACAAGGTTCTAATAGATGTTAGGCGTTAGTCGGACGACGAGTTAGGATCTAGCGGCTAAGCGAGGTCTAGTGCCTATGCGGATTTAAGTAAATTTACTATATATTATATAAATAAATGCCTTTTTATAACACATAATTGTATTGGAATATATAAATTGTAAAATAAAATTACATATATATTATAAAGTATTTGAACATAGGAGAAAAGACCTAAATATGAATAGGAGACCCAAATGTGAAACGACAACTGTAAACAATTATTCAAGGTGGGCGGTAAATGATTCAGCCATTTACAAAATTCAAAACGTGGGATCATGTTCTACTGGATCGTTGTATTAACTATTAGGCAGTGCTCTAATATAATGCATCCAAATGGGGGTGGACCACATAATTCACCCCAATGGATCGTTTTAAGCTACTCCACTGCTAAAACCATTGCAAAATGCGCATTAGGATTATACTTCTATTAGCTGCACCTTTCCTTACTAGGCAAATGAACCACATAGTACACCAAGATGGATGTTATACACGTTGGAGTTTGAGCAGAATTCTTTTTTTTTTTTTTTTTTTTTTTATCTCATTGTCTCACATTGCTAGAATTAAAAATTTTATAATATAACAACATTCGAATAAGAACTTGAGAAACGACATACTACCAGTTGGGCGGGAAGGTGTAGTGAAAGAGAGGAAAGAAAGAAAGAAACGAACGCAAAAGGACAAGGATTATCCAATAAATTATAAACAATGACTTCTTGGGATGATTACAGCTATTCAACCATCAATAATACATTATTTTAGTTTGGAATTTGGAAGCATTTGAGAAGTAACATGACAACAACCACATAATAAACAAAAGTGATTAGAAAAAAGAGCCAAATGTGAAAGAACAATTAAAAACAATTATTCAAGATTAATGATAAATGATTCAACCATTTACAATATATGAACTTAGAACAACAATCTATTAGATCGTTGTATTAATTATTAAGTAGTGCTCTAATATAATAGATCCAAATGGGGACGGACCATAAAATACACTCAAATGGACCATTTTTAGGCTCCACTGCCAAAAACTAATGCAAAATGGGCATTAGGATTAAACTTGTATTAGCTATCTTTGCTTACTAGTCAAATGAACCATACAATACACCCAAATGGATGGCATGAACAATGTTTTGAAGGGACAAGGTAGCAAACGCTTCCTTTTTATATATGTAAGCAACAACCCTAAATCTTATTGGAACTAATTAACTAATGTAATTATTAGACAGTTGGATTCCTTAGCAAGTGGTTTACTATTTTTGTTAGTTTAGTAGTCAGGTCGTAATTAATTAGTCAAATGAACCATTTAATACACCCAAGTGGATGCCATATATAAACAATGTTTTGAAAGGACAAGGTAGCTAACGCTGTATTTTTATATAGGGTGTGATATCCACACACCTTTTTTTACTTCTCACACACTTTTCTTATTTTCGGCCTTCGAATAAGAGGAATTGAAGAAGATCAAAGGACAAAAATTAACAAGAAGTGTGTGAGAAGTAAAAAGAAGTGTGTGGATAGCACATCCCTTTATATATGTAAGCAACAACCCTAAATCTTATTGGAGCTAATTAACTAATGCATTTATTAGACAGTTGGATTCCTTAGCAAGTGGTTAACTATTTTTGTTTAGTTGAGTAGTCAGGTCGTAATTAATTAGTCAAATGAACCATATAATACACCCAAATGGATGCCATATATGCATATATAAATAATGTTTTCAAAGGATGAAATGACTTTCTTGCCGGTATGGGGGAAGATGAAAGAAACTAGCACGAAACTGCAGACCTTATCGATCCATTATAATAAATTTCAATGGTTCAAGTTGTAAGTTAATTGTGCAAGGTAAAAACTTATTTACATTTATCAACTTAATCACGTACCTATGGAAGACATCGTCTCAGAAAATTAGGATTAAGAACTGAAGTTCTCCTGCAACTCTACACAACTGAAAGCAAGGCTCGCTCAATGGGGTTTGAGTTTTCTGTAAACTTGCGTATTTAGTGGAGAGAGCAGGGACCTCATTTTTATACATGGAATTCAATAAGGATCCCTCCCATTAAGTGATCTTTATCAAAGAGTAGCCTTATCACCGTGAAGCACTTATGCATTATATCCGCTAAAAGAATTTTAGTTTTCCCAAGAATGTATCTGAGTTGAAACTGTAAAGAAATACAACTCCTGATAAGTCTACCACAAGTGTCAATCCTTATCTCCTTATCATTCCACATGTCTTTAATCAAATCACCAAGTGTTTGCTCTCATATAGAACTGACACACGTCTCATGTAGTTTCATCTAACTTATTTTCTACAACGGTAAATATATTTTAATGGCTCCGGTTTTCACATGCCAGTCAGTTACACGCTCAAACGTTCGGGCTAAATGGCTCGAAGAGAGCTTCCACTTCACTCTGATTCACCTCCCTCTTACTTTGACGGGTTCCACTTCGGATTCTGCATTGACAAAAAACAGAAGCAAAAGATAACGATCTGTTCTGATACAAGGAAAGTAAGATGATTGTATAACTGTAGGTCTAGTAGAGGCTGTCGTACCCAGTACACAAGGCTCCCGCTTTACGCAGGGTCTAGTAGAGGCTGTAATGGTTTATATTGCAGCAACTCCGTCAGCAAGTAATTTCATAGTAAGGAATCTTGAGCATGATTAACGAACCTGATCCTTGTCCACCAAAACTGCCCGCACACCTTCGGCAAAATCATTCCGCAAAGACGATCTTATAGCAACGCGATATTCAGTTTTCATCACACCAGTTAGCTGGTATGGATCAAGTAAAGCACATGTTACTCACTCAGAAAATGTGAAATACGACAACACAAAATCTATCAAAAGGATGCAACCACGCGATTATTAGAAAATAACTCTGATATTTTCATTTCTTAATGAATAAGGAAATTACAACTGGTTTATATACATTTGTGAAAAATAGCTTAGTGACTAATTACCCTTGGTTAACTGACTAATCTAGTAATTAGTTACATAGACAGTTGTAACAGACTTGTAACCAAAATACAACAAACTATATATGTGACTCTTTACACCCCCTCAAGCTGAACGGAGGAGAGCCGAGAGAAAGCTTGGATTGAAGGTATTGAAACCGAGCCTTAGAAAGAGATTTGGTGTGAATATCAGCAACTTGAAACTGAGTATTGATATACTGCACTTGAAGTAGCTTAGCAAGAACGAGTTCACGGATGTAATGATAATCAATTTCCACGTGCTTGGTACGAGCATGGAAAACCGGATTAGAGGCCAGAGAAATAGCTGAAACATTATCACACCAAAGAGTGGGAATGGTAGTGAGTGAAAAAGCGACATCTCTGAAAATTTTACATATCCATGTAAGTTCAGCGGCTGTGTGCGCAAGAGAACGATATTCAGCCTCGGTAGAGGAACGAGCAACTGTAGGTTGCTTTTTAGCACTCCAACTAATCAAGTTGCTGCCCAAATATATACAATAGCCACTGGTGGACCTTCGATCAAACACACAACCTGCCCCTACAATAGACCGATATTCCTTAGGATCAGCTAAAAGAGCTCCAGTATGATCAAGCTTCTGAGTGCCCAGAGGAGTAGGACAGGGCTTGCAACCTGCCATGGAAGTCTTGACTAAAAGATCTAAAGCATACTTGCTTTGAGACAGGAAAATACCATCATCAGATCGGTGGACCTCTAAGCCAAGAAAATAGTGTAAAGGCCCCAAGTCCTTAACTGGAAATAAGGAACTGAGTTGCTGAATAAACCGTTGACAGAGAGAGGTATTAGGACCAGTCACCAAGATGTCATCCACATATACAAGGACGAGCACAGGGAATGGTTGAAGTTTCACAAACAGAGAACAATCAGATTGGGAGTTTGTGAAACCAAGAGAGACCAAAGCTTGAAACAACTTATCATACCAAGCCCGAGGGGCTTGCTTCAATCCATAGAGAGACTTCTGGAGTTGACAGACATAAGAAGGTTTGGAAGGATCAATGAAACCTGGGGGTTGTTGCATAAAAACATCTTCTTGGAGATTGCCATGGAGGAAAGCATTGCTGATGTCAAGTTGATGTAAAAACCAATCATATTGCACTGCCATTGTAAGAAGAATGCGAATAGTGACAGGTTTGGCAACCGGACTGAAAGTCTCCTTGAAATCAATACCCTCTTGTTGATGGAAACCCTTAGCAACAAGACGGGCTTTATACCGATCAATAGAACCATCAGGTTTCCTTTTGATCCTGAAAACCCATTTGCATCCAACCAAGTTCTGATGAGGAGATGAGGGTACAAGAGTCCAAGTGCCGGTGGATTGAAGAGCTTGAAATTCATCAAGCATGGCCGTATTCCAGTGATCATACTTGGAGGCTTGCAGATAAGTAGTAGGGACAAATGAACTGGAATCAATAGGATGCTTCGTGGCTGCTAACACTTTAGGCTTGAAAATTCCTGCTTTAGATCGAGTGATCATTGGATGAGTGTTGGTAGGGACTGAGATTGTTGAAAGTGAAGAAGGAGAAGGCACCGGAGATGAAATAGAGGCTTGAGGTTGCTGGGGAGGTTGAGAGTGCCGTGTAGATGGTGAAGGTTGAAGATGTGGTGGAGGTGGAGGTTGCAGTGGAGAATGCACCCGAGAAGAGCTTGAGCATTGACCTTGAGAGAAAACTGAAAGAGGCGGTGGTGCAGGGGGACATGATTGAGGAAATGGTAGGGAGAACTCAAGAGATGTAGGGGAGGGGACAGAGAAAGAACACTGTGACGAGCTACTGTGATGAAATGGAAAATGATCTTCATTAAAGACAACATGCCTCGAAATGTAGACTCTGTTAGAAGACACGTCCAAACACCGATAACCTTTGTGTTGAAGGCTATAACCAAGAAATACACATGGTTTGCTTTTACCATCCAATTTGGATTGCATATATGGCTTGAGCCAAGGATAGCAGCAGCAACCAAAAACCTTTAACTTGGAATAATCAGGAGGCTTTTTGAAAAGCATTTCCCATGGAGACTGAGAAGATCCAGAAAGAGGCATCCGATTGATAAGATACAGTGCAGTAGAAAAGGCTTCTACCCAAAACTTGTGAGGAACTTTGGAAGCAACAAGAAGTGTCCGAGCAGTTTCAGTGAGATGTCGATGCTTGCGTTCCACACACCCATTTTGCTCAGGTGTGTGGGGACAACTGTACTGATGAGAAATACCATGTTGAAGCAAGAAGGAAGCAAAAGCAGAACCAGTGAACTCACCCCCTGAATCTGTTCGAAGAATCTTGATTTTATGGCCAAGCAAGTTTTCAACATATGCTTTGAAAGTGATAAAAGTAGAGAAGACTTCAGACTTGTGTTGTAAAGGAAACAGCCAACTGTATTTGCTATATTCATCCACAAAGAGTACATAGTACGTATAGCCACTAACTGATGAAACTGGACAGGGACCCCAGACATCACAATGAATTAAATCCAAACTATGAGATACAGTGGTAGTACTAAAGGAAAAGGGCAACTTATGATTTTTGCCAATAGCACAGTCTGCACAAAAAAACTGAACAGAAGTTGAAGTATGAGGAACAAGCTTATTTGTACGTAAAATCCTTCTCAGAATGGCTGTGGAAGGATGCCCGAGTCGTTTGTGCCATTGATGTAAAGATGCTTGAGTGCTTACAAGTGCAGAATATGAAGCTTGGAATGGCTGACCATGCAGAGGATAGAAACCATCCCTAACTGGGCCTCGAAAAAGCATCTTCCCAGTGGAACGGTCCTTGATGACAGAACCATCAGAATCAAGAGTTAAAGAGCAATAATTGTCTCTTAGAAACTGATATGCAGAGAGCAAATTGAATTGCATCATTGGCACATGAAGAACATTATTTAATCGAAAGGCAGCATGTGGTGTTTGGAGAATAGAAGAACCTGTATGTTGGATGGGCATACCTTGGCCATCACCTGCATAAACCTTGTCTTCACCAGAGTACGGAATGGGGGAAGTGATAGCGGAGATATCATTGGTGACATGAGCAGTAGCACCAGAGTCCAGAAGCCATGTAGGCTGAGAAGAAGAGGCAGTAGAAGCACACATAGCAGCAAGCTTGGCAGGTGGAATCTTTCCAGCAAAGGCATGATTCATGCGAGCATAGCAGTCAAGAGCCTCATGATCTAAAGAATTGCATATTTGACAGGGAGACCGAGTTCCAGAAGAACGAGGAAAGCCACCAGAGTTGCGATTATAATGACTAGTATTGTGATGAAAAGAACCATTACCAGGGCCAGAGTTAGTATAATTTCCACGATAGTTGCCTCGACCTCTGTTGTTCTTCTGAAAATTGCTGCGGCCACGATTATGGCGCTGAAAATTGTTGCGATTGTTGTAGGTAGAATGTTGAACAACATATGCCTGGGAGGGAGGAGGCGTAGGTAAGAGACCTTGCTGGAGAGGCGGAGCTTGAGCAGCAAATGCTTGAAATGGTGCAGTGAGAGACGACGAATGAGCTGTCTTCTTGCGATGCATAAAGATCTCTTTGTTCATGAGTAAGCCATGAAGTTCATCTAAAGAAGTAGATGAAATGCGAAGCATTATCGAATCAATGAAAGACTCGTAATCATCCGAAAGGCCATTGAGTGTAACAGCAATGAGATCTGGTTCTGACACCGGTGCTCCGGCAGCCATAAGAGCATCAGAGATGCCTTTGATATGCTGCAGATAATCAGAAATTGACAAATCACCTTTTTGAATCGCATGAAGACGCGATCGGAGCTGGTGAATGTGCGCCGCCGAGACTCCGCCAAACCGTTGTTCAAGAATCTGCCATAATTCTCGAGATGAGGTGACGCCAACAGTGAACGGAATAAGATCTTCAGAGAGAGTGGAATTCAACCAGATCAGGATATTTTGATCCTTTTCAAACCAGATCTCGTAATTAGGATTAGGAACGGCAGTACCGATACCGTTTTGATTGAGAAGAAAGGGCGATGGACATTGCTCCGATCCATCGATGATACCTGTAAGTTTGTAGCGCCGGAAAATTGGAGCGAAAAGAGCTTTCCAGGTGAGATAATTGTCCTTCTTAAGCTTTGTAGGAACCATACAACTGATGTTTTGGATTGAAATTGATGAAAACGAAGAATTAGGGTTTATCGGAGCTGAATTTGAGGAAATGGGAGTAGGATTCTGAGCGAAAACTTCTGGATTTGCAGGCGAAGAGGTAGAAGACGCCATTGTTGATCAAGGATTTGCAGAGAAAGATCTCAAAGATTGCAGAGGAAGATCTCAAAGATTGCAGAGGAAGCTAGGATCGGAGGAAGCTAGGATCGGTGCGTGAGCAGAGAGGCTCGATACCATATTAGAAAATAACTCTGATATTTTCATTTCTTAATGAATAAGGAAATTACAACTGGTTTATATACATTTGTGAAAAATAGCTTAGTGACTAATTACCCTTGGTTAACTGACTAATCTAGTAATTAGTTACATAGACAGTTGTAACAGACTTGTAACCAAAATACAACAAACTATATATGTGACTCTTTAGCGATGAATGAAACGAAAAGGTAGAAAGTAAGACTCACTGGATAATTGATTGTCATTTTTCCCAAGCGCAGATGCAACATTGGAGAAGTAAGTTTGCGTCAAATAAAGTGAAAAAGGAGCAACCTTTCCAAGACCTTGAAGAGCTTCATTAGCCCACTCCACCACTGCAACAGAAACAGTTTGATAGAAAATACACGTACAAGCCTCTCAATGGAAAAGTAAGACAGAATTCATTTCATCATCGATAAAAAAATGGCATTGACAAACTTACCAGTAGCATCTGAACACTGCTGCTGTTTTTAAAGTTCATCAATTGTCACAAGAACCGACTTATTTGCACCAAATGCTGAAGTTTTTTGAGGTAAAAGACTCCTGAGCTGCGCTTCGGATTTGGGTTGCTGCTGAATTTGGCCACAGTTGTGATTGACAACATTGACAATTGTCTCTCTGACAAGGCAATAGTACCCCGACCGTGGCCCGATAGGCCAATACTAAAGGCCATTGTTATGTCCATGAAGCTTATACGTGGCTGTCAAACCCGACACATGAATAGCATACTCTACTACTGTATTACATTGTGAGAATTTTATCTAAAATTAATTGACAATGAGTGAATAAGCTGAAAGATTATGTACGACTTTAATTATGCAAAGAGTGAACTGAAGAGACAATTTTCATTAACCTCCAGTCAAGAATTTGGGCCTCACAAATCACTACCCAATATGTTTTCTACGGGGAGGGGACTGTCACATCGTTCCAAGCAGTTAGAGGCGGTTGACAACGGTTGCGATGATGTGTTTTCTACGGGGAGAAAATACAGGAGTCAGCAGTTATCTTCCGCAACCGTCTTCAATAATGAAGGACAAGAGAGAGAAAAAAAAACGAATGTAGAAAGGAAACATAAGTTGGTTGACAAAAGGGGAAGAAAAATTGAAGATACAGAGAAGAAGAAAAGAAGAAAATCGATGCAAATTTTGATATATATGTAGTAGGTCCCGGTATCCAAAGGATTCGGGGCTAATGTACCTGCATTGATAAAAAAACAAAGATCCGATTTTTGGAAACGCATCACATAGTAGCCAAAACACCCGACCGTAAATGAAGGGTTTGAGATACCGCCATAGTGGCTTCCCTCATGTGTGTTTCTCTCGTATCGGATCACATAGTGTAAGAATATCAGTAGTGAAAGTTAAATACCCGTGTCGGGAAGAGAAGTCGATGATGACAAAGAGAGAAATTTGGCTTGAAAAATGTATGATGTTTGCAACAAGCGTCACCGGAGTATGAACTTGAAGCTCTCCATCTATCCGTCGTTAAATGTTTCGTAAGCAGCATTGTCAAAGTTCTCTCTGTCAGGGGGGGGGAACTGAAGATGGTTTTGAATGAAGAAGAATGGAAAATATAATTTAGAAAATGAGAAAGAAAATTATAATTGAAACTAAAAAAATGAGAAATAAAAAGAGAGATTTACTATTTTCTAGGAGGTCTTGAATTGGCAAATGAATGTTTAGTAAGAGTGTCATGAGTCAAACTTGTAAGGCTATCTTTAATAAGAAGTTGCCGCGTTTTGTCAAAACTGGTCCATCTAATTGCAAATTGTAACCATTAGTTGAATGCATATGCTACATCACATTTAGTGAATATTTAGTACAGATGACACATGATCAAACTTGTATGGTTGTTCAATAAGAAGCTATCACGTTCTCAAGAGTAGAGCTAGAAGGGAGCACTTCCCTACCAAAGTGTTTTCCTTCTCCCCTTTACAAGGGATTTGTGTCACCATTAGATGGGAGATTCGAATGCAAGACCTTGAATTGAGAGGTAAACGCTTTTACAAAGCTTTTACGAGCACCTTCTTGTTTACCAAACTTATTGAGACTAAAGGTGGTCTTAACGCCATTTTGGCTAATAGTATTCTGTATATTTACGAATGGTTTTAAGCTTGGGTTTAATTGGATAATCAGAGAGTAGTGCATCAAACTATGGATATTCAGAAACCGAAAGCATAATTCATATTCCTCTAACAAGTCCACGCAAATAACCACAATCAGAATGTTAGTTCATAACTGGCCATATAGAACGCAGTACAAAAGCATTAAAAGCGTCCAAGTGAAAGTGCTTTCTCCTCATGTTTCATTTAACTTAGTTTCACATGCCAGTCCGTCACACACTCAACTCCTCAACGTTCGGGCTCAAAGCATTCTTTATCCTTTCTGTACTAGAGACAATAAATTTAAAGTTCTTGTGATGAAATCATGTAAACATTCAGAAATCTTGATTTATCATAGGTTATGTCATCTCAACTTATATCTTAGGTCTTATGAGTGCTCGTAATACACTAATATGACACTTGTTTTCTGGCCAGGACAGAAACAAAATCATGCGGGAAATTGTCATGACAACTTGAGTGTAAAATGCGACCAGAAAAACACTAAACAGGATAACTATGCTCTCTTAGTGTAAACCTTAACAACAAAGACTATTGGGCCATATATTTGAACCACAGTATGATGGATACCTACAATACAGATCACAAATAAAATCTGAGCAGACACAACAACAACAACAACAACAACAAAGCCTTTTCCCACTAAGTGGGGTCGGCTATATGAATCCTAGAACGCCATTGCGCTCGGTTTTGTGTAATGTCCTCCGTTAGATCCAAGTACTCAAGTCTTTTCTTAGGGTCTCTTCCAAAGTTTTCCTAGGTCTTCCTCTACCCCTTCGGCCCTGAACCTCTGTCCCGTAGTCACATTTTCGAACCGGAGCGTCAGTAGGCCTTCTTTGCACATGTCCAAACCACCGGAACCGATTTTCTCTCATATTTCCTTCAATTTTGGCTACTCCTACTTTACCTCGGATATCCTCATTCCCAATCTTATCATTTCTCGTGTGCCCATACATCCCACGAAGCATCCTCATCTCCGCTACACCCATTTTGTGTATGTGTTGATGCTTTACCGCCCAACATTCTGTGCCATACAACATCGCTGGCCTTATTGCCGTCCTATAAAAATTTTCCTTGAGCTTCAGTGGCCTACGACGGTCACACAACACGCCGGATGCACTCTTACACTTCATCCATCCAGCTTGTATTCTATGGTTGAGATCTCCATCTAATTCTCCGTTCTCTTGCAAGATAGATCCTAGGTAGCGAAAAAGGTCAATTTTTGTGATCTTCGCTAGATTGCTCCGGTCATTAGTGTGGATAAGTATATAAATGGATAGAGATAGGAAAGCAAACACAAGATGTACGTGGTTCACCCAGATTGGCTACGTCCACGGAATAGAGGAGTTCTCATTAATTGTGAAGGGTTTACACAAGTACATAGGTTCAAGTTCTCCTTTAGTGAGTACAAGTGAATGATTTAGTACAAATGACATTAGGAAATATTGTGGGAGAATGATCTCGTAATCACGAAACTTCTAAGTACCGGAGTGTGGTATCGTCTTGACTTGCCTTATCTGTCTCATAGGTAGATGTGGCATCTTCTCTGGAAGTACTCTTCCTCCATCCAGGGGTGGTATCTGTAACTGGTGGAGATGCACAAGGTAATGTATCAATTTCACTTGAAGCTTACTTGTAGTTTCAGGCTTGGTCAAGCGCGATACAAACCATGTAGTAGGAGTCCCCCAAGTCGCCGAGCTAGGGGATCTTTGAAAGAGGTGACAGACAAGGTAAGCAATCAGAGCTCCGGCTGATTGTTCACATTCTCCCTATCTTGCAGGCAGCATGAAGGATAAAGAGAAGAAAAATGGGAAGAAATGATATGGGATACTTTTGCTTTTGAAGAAGTAACTTTCCACAGGTTTATTCTTGAACTGGGCTGGAGGGTTTTCTGGTTTCCTCCAGAGTATAAGGCCGACTGAAGAATTTGAGGGTCAAAACAAGTCCATCAAATCTAGAGTACGTTCAACCCTGCTGATATGGGATACTTTTGCTTTTGACAGAGTAGTGGATGTATCGGCACGTGTGCTGTTACGCTTGTCTCCACATGCTTCCTTGTATCCTTCTCACTTGCCCTATCTATTCCTCAGGCAGATGCGGTATCTTCCCTGGAAGCATAAGATGTTGAAGATGAGTACTCGAGAGCAATGCCAGGTAAGTAATCAGGTAAGGGGTTCCAGGCAGTCAGTTCCTGGCTGGAAGCTTGATTCCAAGTGCTGACTGATTGCTCTCTTTCTCCTTGTCTTGCAGGCAAGAACAAGGCCAAAGGAAAAGACAGGGAAAAAACATGATATGGGATACTCTTGCTTTTAACCCTGATGATATGAGATATTCTTGCTCTAGTATAGCTTGTTTACAGAGGTATTATCGGGGGGGGAAAGAAAGCTGAATATTTCGAAAGGCTTCGTTGGGAGTGTTCTTTCAGATAAGAGGAAGGGTTGAGCATTTTTACAGGTCTGCCTGTCCGTTGGGGATGGAGGTCGACATATATATGAGTCTCCCTAACATCAAGTAATAATGCTATTCCTTTACCCTGCTTGGTCATAGCACGGTAGTGGGAGCTGCCAGCTTCACATGTTTTAACTCTGTTAGAGCACTTTGAAAAAGTGGTCTGTGGTATCTGGAAAGCTGATGTTGCGTGTGAAGATTACAGACAAGCTTTATCCAAGGAGATCCAGCTCTTGAAGTTGGGAAAATGGTGCCTCTTCGGTTTTCAAACAAGCAATCCTGTCGGGGATCTGGCTCTTGAGATTCGGAGAACGATGCCTCTTCGATTTTTGAGAAAGCAATCCTGCTGGGGGTCTGGCTCTTGAGATTCGGAGAACGATGCCTCTTCGATTTTTGAGAAAGCAATCCTGTTGGGGGTCTGGCTCTCGAGATTCGGAGAGCGGTGTCTCTTCGATTTTTGAGAAAGTAATCATGTTGGGAGTCTGGCTCTCGAGATTCGGAGGGCGGTGCCTCTTCGATTTTGGAGCAAGCAATTTTGTTGGGAGTGTTTTCTCGAATGTGAGTAAAGGTTGGGCATGTTTGCTAGTCTACATTGCCACGAAGCACAGAGGTTGACACACAAGGACTTTCCAATTATCCAGTAGTGGTACTGTTCCTTTACCCTCTCTTCGATTTTTGAGAAAGTAATCATGTTGGGAGTCTGGCTCTCGAGATTTGGAGGGCGGTGCCTCTTCGATTTTGGAGCAAGCAATCTTGTTGGGAGTGTTTTCTCGAATGTGAGTAAAGGTTGGGCATGTTTGCTAGTCTACCTTACCACGAAGCACATAGGTTGACACACAGGGACTTTCCAATTATCCAGCAGTGGTACTGTTCATTTACCCTCTCTTCGATTTTTGAGAAAGTAATCATGTTGGGAGTCTGGCTCTCGAGATTCGGAGGGCGGTGCCTCTTCGATTTTGGAGCAAGCAATCTTGTTGGGAGTGTTTTCTCGAATATGAGTAAAGGTTGGGCATGTTTGCTAGTCTACCTTGCCACGAAGCACAGAGGTTGACACATCGGGACTTTCCAATTATCCAGCAGTGGTACTGTTCCTTTACCCTTGTGGGTAATAATATGGTAGCTAGACCTTCAAAATTTATGTGTCTAAACTTTGTTAATGTTGTTTCTTTGCTATTCTTTTACCCTTCTTGGTCAGAGCGATGTAGTGGGAGCTGCAAGCTTCACGTGTCTCAACTTTGTCAGAGAACTTTGGCAAAGTTATTTGTGGTACCCATGAGCTACTGTTGCGTGTGGGAAGTGAGTGATTGAACAGTACGATTCATGTGCTTTCTACTTTGCCAGAAATCTTCGACAGAATGCCCATAATTTCCGCAAAGCTGAGTGTGCGTGTGACAGGTGCTGACAAGGCTGGAAAAGTAGGTGCCTCTTCAATTTCTGAGATCGGCCCTCGTGGTCTCTGAGCAGCCCAGCTTTTGAGAAAGCAAGCCTCTTCGATTTCTGAGATCGGCCTTCGTGGTATTTGAGCAGCCCAGCTTTTGAGAAAGCAAACGCCTCTTCGATTTCTGAGATCGACCCTCGTGGTCTCTGAGCAGCCCAGCTTTTGAGAAAGCAAACGCCTCTTCGATTTCTGAAGCTTCGTCGAGTGCAGATTTTTATAGGGGCTGACATTAAGTTTCAAAGCACACTTGAATATCCACCAGTAGAAGCTCCATTCTTGCACTTCTAAGATCTTGATTTGTCCGACCTCTTCTCTCTTCAACACCTTTGAAAATGTCTGGCCCATCCGACCGTCGTTTTGACTTGAACCTTGTTGAAGAGGCAGCCCCGCCTTCTCCAGACAACATATGGCGCCCATCCTTCGTCTCCCCTACTGGTCCTCTTACCGTTGGGGATTCAGTGATGAAGAATGATATGACCGCTGCGGTAGTGGCCAGGAACCTTCTCACTCCCAAAGATAACAGACTACTTTTCAAACGATCTGATGAGTTGGCTGTTAAGGATTCTCTGGCTCTCAGTGTTCAGTGTGCAGGTTCTGTGTCTAATATGGCCCAACGCTTATTTGCTCGAACCCGCCAAGTTGAATCATTGGCGGCTGAAGTGATGAGTCTTAAACAGGAGATTAGAGGGCTCAGGCATGAGAATAAACAGTTGCACCGGCTCGCACATGACTATGCTACAAACATGAAGAGGAAGCTTGACCAGATGAAGGAATCTGATGGTCAGGTTTTACTTGATCATCAGAGATTTGTGGGTTTGTTCCAAAGGCATTTATTGCCTTCATCTTCTGGGGCTGTACCGCGTAATGAAGCTCCAAATGATCAACCTCTGATGCCTCCTCCTTCTAGGGTTTTGTCCAGTACTGAGGCTCCGACTGATCCCCCTCTGGTGCCTTCTCTTTCTGGGGCTCTACCGACTGCTGAGACTTCTCCTAAGCAACCTTTGTGAAGGCTCCCTCTTGTTTGTTTATTTTGACTCAAGTATATGTACATATTTGTAACTTATCGGGGATATCAATAAATAAGCTTTCCTTCATTTCAACGTATTGTGTTAAATACACCAAAGCCTTATTCGCTAAGTTCTTGAATTTTCTTTTGTTGAAGCTTGTATGTTGAAGCTTTGTGAGTGGAGCATGTAGGTTGAGGTAGTGTTCCCTTAATTTCCCGAGTGAGGAAAACTTCTCGGTTGGAGACTTGAAAAATCCAAGTCACTGAATGGGATCGGCTATATGAATCTTAGAACGCCATTGTGTTCTGTCCTGTGTCATGTCCTCTGTTAGATCCAAGTACTCTAAGTCTTTTCTTAGGGTCTCTTCCAAAGTTTTCCTAGGTCTTCCTCTACCCCTTCGGCCCTGAACCTCTGTCCCATAGTCGCATCTTCTAATCGGAGCGTCAGTAGGCCTTCTTTGCACATGTCCAAACCACCGTAACCGATTTTCTCTCATCTTTCCTTCAATTTCGGCTACTCCTACTTTACCCCGGATATCCTCATTCCTAATCTTATCCTTTCTCGTGTGCCCACACATCCAACGAAGCATCCTCATCTCCACTACACCCATTTTGTGTACGTGTTGATGCTTCACCGCCCAACATTCTGTGCCATACAGCATCGCCGACCTTATTGCCATCCTATAAAATTTTCCCTTGAGCTTCAGTAAATTTTATTTGGACCCAATAAACCTATTTCTACACTCATTAAATTTTTGTTAAATTTTATATTCCAATTATGCCCTAAAGAAAAGATGGGTGTAGAAAGATATTATCAACTGGAGCAGTCGGAGAAGAACATCAAAAATATAATTGGTGGATGGCCGCTTGTCAATTCCATCAAGGAAATACAATCTTCTTAACAACATATATATAATTAGTTCATCTCTAGGTTATTTGAAATTTGAATTTAACAGAGAAGAAGGTGGAATTGTGTACCATGAAAGGGCCCCTGCCGCTCAGTGAGTTCATTAGCTTCTCAAATTCCATAACTTTCTAAGGCATGGATTTGTCTTAATTGCTTTAATACATGTTATGTTTCTTAAATAACTTAGGGAGGCACAACTTATTGGGGACTTCAATGGATGGGATGGCCCCAAGCACAAGATGGACAAGAACCAGTTTGGGGTTTGGAGTATCAAGATACCAGATTCTGGTGGAAATTCAGCCATTCCTCACAATTCAAGGGTTAAATTTCGGTTTAAGCATGGAGATGGAGTTTAGATTGATCGCATCCTTGCTTGGATTCAATATGCCACCGTGGACCCAGCAATTCCATCAAGGAAAAGATAGGTGTAGAATTCCGGCAATCCCTTCGTCCTCCATGCTGTTCTTCTTTTGAGCTACAATTTGCTGGGTTTTTATAATTAGTTCATTAAGGTTTAAGGAGATAATACAACAACAACAACAAAGCCTTTTCCCACTAAGTGGGGTCGGCTATATGAATCCTAGAACGCCATTGCGCTCGGTTTTGTGTCATGTCCTCCGTTAGATCCAAGTACTCTAAGTCTTTTCTTAAGGAGATAATAGTCAGACCAAAATTCAGCCCCATGGAATTGGGCACGAAGAATTGAAAAACGACGAGATAAAGAGCAGATCGGTGGTGACAGTTTTTGGAATGATGACCATAATCAAATTTGGTTGTTGCCAGGGTGGGTTTACATGTCTGTGTAATTTTTTTTAAGTATGCAAATTTTGTATTTGAGGGTAAAATGGTAAGTTTGTGGGACAAAATTTATAAGTTGGGTGTGGAAAGAGAATTAATGGGTTTAAATAAAATTTCCCCACAAAGTATTATGTTCTGTTTAGGCAAAATCTGTAAGTTCTCAAATAGGATAAATAAAGATAAACATATCCCAGCATAAAGACGATTTGTCGTGGTTAATTCTAAGAAACCTTGTATCAAATGTATGATAGTTATTCATAACTAACACAAACAACAGTTTGGCCAAACATTACTGGTCTGAGCCATAGACTGTGTGACCTCAGACAAAACAGATCCCACATGTACTCAGATTATGATTGATGTCCCTATAGACTTTTACCTTTGAATCAGAGATTCATCTGTTGTAGGGCTATCCAATATTGGATTTGCATAAAACGAGCCTTTTAACGTATCTGCAAAACCAGAATACAAACGGAAAATGAAGGATCCTAAGTTCTTAGAGTTTCCAAAGAAACAAAATTTAGAACAAAGAACATAAAGTGATACCAGGCTTTCCAGATTCCAGCTTCTCTTTTCCATGACTCCATCCACAATTGTACCTAAACATAGATGGCAGGTAAAAAGAAGATAAGCAATAAAACTACGTAAACATTAGTTAATAATGTCAAGACCATAGTCTGTGACAAATCCAAGAGTTGGGATGAACTATCTTTCTGGCAGGAATTTTTGGAATTTTTCTCTATGGTAAGGAAAACATAGATTGATGTTTGTGTTTACACTAAAATTATGCCAACGGCTTAAGAGAAATCAAAGTACAACAATGGAACTAATACGACTTACCTACTATGAGGATCTTCAAGTACCTTCTTCACCTCTTCAGGCAGATTGGCTAATCTAATAAACGAAAAGAAAACTCCCATGAGCAGTGCTATAACAAACTATCTTCCTAAATTCATTATGAATTGCAGTTAAAACTTAAAATGAACATGAAAATCCTATGTAGAAGGGATATACCTAGGTGACAAGCGTAGAAGATTCCCGCGCAAGGAAGAATATCCCGGAACCTGCAAATGGAAACTCAATGAAACAATTACAAAGATGCTAGAAAGAAAATACTTATCAGTTTACAACAAAACGCTAGCTCTCACGAGAATCGATTAGGTATGAAGCATCAAAACAATAACATGAGACATCATAATTTATGAGCTGTGAATGGAATAATGGAGCAAAATATCGTTGCCCAAACAGCACAATCTACAATCTACATGACGGAGAAAGTACCCCGACATTACATATGCAAGTTCATGGGTTCACATGTAAGCATGTGGTTTATCTTTTTAATCGATTCGTTAACAAATTCTTTCTGCACATATAGTTTCAACCAGAAACCAAATTCCATTGGTAAACAAATATGCATAATAGCAGAACTAAGTAAAAAACAACATATCACCATACTGATACTGATGTGATTCAGAATTAAGCATTTTAACTTACCAAAACTGGTAATGGAAGAGATAATCAGTAATTAACACGGTAATTGCATAACGAAATCATACTTGAGTGATTGATAGGATTCCCTACCCATTTGGTCCAAATCCTTCTTCAATCTTCACTGACAAGTCTTTGTCCTTGTCCTGTATCAATCAATCCAAAATCAAAAAACGATAATTAGAAAAATCGAATTCTCGACATGATTGACTGAGTTAAAACATAGTAATTAAACAAAACTATGAATAAAACAATTAGATTCTGTTTGGTTGCTGAGAAAATGAAGAGAATAACAACCAAAAAGTCAACTGAAATAGAATTTTGCTCTAATTTCAACGAATTCTCTTGAGTTTCTGAGCACCCAAACAGAAAAAAAATTAAAGCCAATCATACCAAACTCTCATGCTCAATTTTCTCGCAACCACAAACAGAACTTAGAGGGAGATAGAGAGTTACTTGGAGCTCGGAGTAGGATATGGTGACTGGTGTGACGGTGGGAACGGCGGGGTCGGAGGACGGAGGCATAGTTCGACAAGAAATTTGGCGGGAAAGACGGCGGTTGGACTGTGACGGTGGGGAAGAATCCGTGGGAACGAAGAGGAATTTTGGTGCGGAAGGACGGCTTTTATATAGAAGGGAGGGAGAGAGGTTGAGAGCGAAAGGCGTGATTGTCAATTTCAAATATTTTTGAAGGAATAAAGAAAGAAGGGAGGTTGAGCATCAATTCCCTTTCCCCTCCAAGCCAAAGAATACATGCAACTTTAACGAAAAGCTTTCGGTACTGTTTATTTTAACGAAAAATTATATTTTTACACTAAAATGTCAATCTTGGTACTATTCGCTTTACCCTTTATTCTTTTCTTATCGGTAAAACTCAAAGTTTTCAAGCCTTTTTCATTAGTTTTCTTAAGAATATATTCATGATCACGATGTGTGGCAAAACTTGAAGGTGGAGACGAATATATTAAATACATATAACTATTACTGTATTAGTTCAATTTAAAATTAATTACATACTTTAAGGATTTGTTTGAAAGTATTTTTCAAATAATTAAAAGTGTTTTTGATTAACATGTTTTTTAAATCAATCTTTAGTATAACCAAGTGGATCTTAAAAAAGAACTTGAGGTGCTTTCTACAAAAAAAAACATGTCTGCAGCACCTGAAATGTTTTTGGAACCCAAAATCAATTTAATAAAAGTAGGTTTAGTCTTTTTGTTTTTGAACAAACGATATCATCTATCTTTAAGGTGAGAGGATAGACTTAACCTCACAATGGCCTAGCACATAAATAATGTGGTTCAAATTCGCTTTTGGTGATAATCGAATCTAAAACTTCTCACTTACAAATGAGAAGGAATACCCTAAATCGTAGTACTAAGTAATGTGTTTAGTTATTTTTAAAAGACTTCAAAACAAGCCCTAATTTGTATCAAATTCAAAAAATTTGAATTGGGCGGATGTAATATGTATTGGGTATCCTCATTCAATAATATTTACGTTGTTTTCGGCAGAAAAGAAAGAATTCAATTGGAAAAAATAAAAAAATGGGAAATAAGGATATTCTAATTAAGGTTTTTATTAATTGTTTTAGGTGGATAGTTCATATGAAGATTATGAAAACGCTTTAATTCTCTAATGTGAGGTTCCGTCTCGATCTAAAGTTAATCAGTCAAAAATATAATTAAGATTGTTATTAATTATCAATTCATGTATATTTCCCCATGTATTACGATACTAAGTTAGACAATGAAAAATACATACAAGGTTTTACGAGAATATGCGTGGCTGTCAAGTCCGACACGCGAATAGCATGCTCAACTTGTATTACTCTCTAAAGATTTTATCCAAAATCGACGATGAGTGAACAAGTTGAAAGATTATGCACGACTTTAATTATGTAACAAGTGAAGAGGCAATTTTCGCCAACCCTGACACGACAAGTTCCATTTTTTGTTCATTTTCTTGACGAAACAATCACATTTACCCTTACGATTAAGGGCATAGAGATAGAGTATGTGTTGGGTTCCGTTACAGTTCCGACACTACTTAGCACTGTAGAGAAGGAAATAAAACGACAACTCGGGATTTCTTACAACGTATTGAGTCTCTTCATGGCTCTTGCTGTGTTGTTCTTATCTCACGTCCTGTTTCTCGAGCTTGGTGTTTCCGGTTGCAAATTTTGGTTCGCCGGTGTAGTTCTCAGGGGAGGGGACTGTCTCACATCGTTCCCAGCAGACAGAGGTGGTTGACAACGATTGCGATAATGTGTTTTTCTACGGGGAGAACATACAGCAGTCAGCAGTTATCTTTTCACAACAGTCTTCAGTATTTGGAGGCACCTCAAGAAATTATCAAGGACAAACGAATGTAGAAAAGAAGAAATATCGAAGTTGGTTGTCAAAAGGGGACGAAAAATTGAGAGATACAGAGAAGAAGAAGATAAGAAGAAACTCGATGCAAATTTTGAGCTAGATTAGTTATTTTTCATTAACGAGCGATACAGAGAAGAAACAGCTGCATTTGGAGATAGCTGCTTTAGTTGTCAAGTTTGTAACATTAGCTTTCTGTAATTTCGGGGAAGAAACAGGAGTTAAAAAAAAAAGAATTAGGCAGTACCAAAGAAGAAAAATGTACAATCGCCACTTCTCAAACTTTGTAGTAGACCCAGGTATCCGAAGGACTCGGGGCTAATGTACCTGCATTAACAAAAAAACAAAGATCAGATTTGTGGAAGGGAGTCGCATGGTAGTTAAAATACTTGGCCATGTGTGAATGGTTTGAGATACCACCATAGAGGCATCCCCTAGGTGTGAGTTTCTCTCGTATCAGATCACTTATTGTAAGAATATCAGTAGTGAAAGTGAAATACCCGTGTCTGGATTGAAACATTGTGTCCTCCTTATGATGCTTGCAACATGCATCACCGAATCAACTTGAAGCTCTCCACCTCTCCACCTGTTAAATGTTTCATAAGCAGCATTGTTATAGTTCTCTCTGTTTGGGGGGATATACAACTAGTATTTGTAAAAGCTAAGCTCTAAAGGTCTCACCTTGATTCTTTGGCACAAATAGCCAAGTTTTGAGATGGGACAAAATGGGTCCCAAGACCCACATACAGTGCATCCGATGGTGTTGAAATCCTTTTTCCAGTAAGTCAAAGATAAGCACCAAGAAAGACATGACAGTGTTAAAACAAACATAGAACTAAGAATTGATGTATGAAGCAAACAGAGAAATGGTACAGGCCATTCTCTTTATATTCTTATAATCTAGACAGTTTCTCCTTATCAACGCCCGGAAAAACAGCTTGTTTCAGTCATAGGAAAGAAATTGCGCCCGAGTATAGAAAAGACATACCTACAGATCCTCCTCCTGGACTCTTTGCTGCTATACGCGAAAACCCACCATCTCGGAACAAACAAATTACATTCTCTGGCATTAGCAAGAACAGTCCTCTGAAATGTATCCACACAAAGTTAAGACACAGAAAATTCAAAGAGGCAATGTAATTCACAACATTGACAATCTCTGTCTGACAAGGCAATAATACCTCTCTAATGATCCGGTAGCGACAGTGACCTGATAGGCCAACACCAAAGCCCATTGTTATGCCATCCATGAAGCTTATATAGGGCTTCTTGTACTCAGAGATTTTGCATATTAGAGAATACTCAGCAGTGAATACCTGAAAAACGTGCAGCACAAACATCATACCGGTAGCCTCTCAATCTTAAGAAATGGTAGCTTAGAAAAGATATGAATCCTGTCCAACCAATACAAATCATATTACCCAAGTTCAAGCAAAATCAAGACTAAACAAATGATCAGATGTTGTAGGTTGCCCGAGAATGTGAAACATGAAATTCCAAAAGAAAAAAAATAATTGTATGTAAAAGAAGTAGCAGAACTCATATAAGTGATTTTCACTTTGAACTTTTAGGCCTATCAACAAATACATCATTAAGATTCTAATGCACTAATTTTTTGGTGGTTCGTTTTTGGCAGTGATCTGCTTCACATCACCCCCTGCAGGTAAACTAAATCTGGGTATTACTTATCAATGAATCAACATGCCAACTTAACGGACACCATCGATCTCTATATGGCAAAAAACCAACACATAAAGGAACAATGAAGTGAAACAATAAACAACATGACATGAAACAGCACGAACATCAAAGACAAACAATCTATCACGTAAGCACCTAAACAAGAAACAATTTTAATACAAAGCAAAGTGTAATGTAGAAACCTTAAACACAAGAGGTGTGTTTTTGTCCTTTTGAATTTCGGCAATAACCACTTTAATGTCCTTTCCTGCATTTACCATGATTGGTCACTCTCAAAACCTGACCTACCAAAAACAAAAATAACAGCCAAAAGAGCTAAACATAGTAACATACATATCTAGAAAAACTTATTTAACTACATGCTAAAATGGAAGTGTAAAATTGCCAAGAAAGATAAGAAACTAGTCAAATACGAATTCTGGGCATTAACAAGAACACACTTCACATTTGGGTCAGATTCCCATTCATCCAGATAGCTCTTGTATTTCACATCCGTATCTGCATTTTCCAACAATTCCCACATAAACAGAAACACAAAATTCTTCAAAAAAAAGCTAGCTTCTTCGAAATTTGAATCCAACGTTTCGTCTTATAACAAATGCAAGAACATAGATTTGTAATCAATACGATACCATAAAGTTCAAGCTCAAAAATTCAAACCAGCTCCAAATCAAAAGCATTTACAGATACATACATATATACATAAGCTGTGTGTGTGTTTATCTACATACCTAGGTTCTTGGCGTTGAGAGCTCGGGGGGCGACCGAGGGTGATGACGGCGACGCCAATTGGGTGGACGCTGCCCTTGACGAACGCGTCGGCGGAGGCCATGATCCCGAAGGTGCGGAGGAGGCGAGGAGGCGAGGGGATTTGGAGGGTTTGTAAAGAGAGAGGTTCGAATTTGGATTGAGGAAGAAGAAAGCGGACGACGATTTGCTCAGAATTTGGGTCGCTCCTCCCAATAATCTTCCCATTACTTCCGTTAGAGAGAGGGATATTTTTGGTGCTTCTGGACCGGACCACCCTTGATGTTTCAGTTAAATTACCGGGATATCGACAACTGAGAAATCGAAAACTGAAAGAGGCGTTTGACGAACTGATTGTGATCTGACTCAAGCATGTGATGATGACGATGCATCACCACCTTGGCTGTGCCTCCGGATCAAAAACCTATCATCACCATCAAAATCGTGCATATTTTCCTTCATAGGTTTGTCCCATACTAGATTAACCCCTGTTCCCTGAATTGTTGCATAACAAGAGTATGCCTCTGGCATTTCAAAAGTTATATCAACTTTATCCCAGCTTTGCAAATTGAGCTTATCGTTCGATATTTGCCAAAGAAAACATTCTTGCCAAAGAAAACATTCTTCAAATACAACCTCGTGCATTTCTATAACCGAATTTTCCTTGACTGCACGGGCACCCACATGCATTTCTTCTATAACCAAATTTTCCGTCATTTCTATAACCGAATTTTCCGTGACTGTGCGGGGAACCCTTATTTTTATATCAATACTGGTACGAGGATGACTATCTTTACATCTGATATAAGGGCTTGACTGAGAAGGACTTGAGCAATAAAAGCATACCAGAGTCAGCCCTTCAAAATTACGATCATCACTCGGGGGATATCAAAAGTGATTTTATTACCAACGTTGACAAACTCGAACCAATCAGGAACATAATCCCCATTGAGAAAAATGCCACCATATCCGCAAGAAGTCCATCCCTATATATACAGTGCAAGTGTCATATCTATATATATATATATATACACACACATGTACATGTACGTTGTGTGTGTGCATGTGCGCAATAGGAAGACAATTAAAGAGAGAGATACCTTTAGGACGTTCCTCATAAAATCAGCTGTGAGTTTGGGGCAATCCCTCATATCAATCCATGTCATGGAGTTTAATGACTTATCCAAGTCTGGAACCTCAGTGAGTGCGCTTGAATTACGTGCATTCAGTTCTCTCATATTCAACATTTTCGAAAAACTGGGCATTGTTACCAAACTGGAGCAATCAGACACATCCAGAAATTTCAAATTTGTTGGTAAATCATAGATTGTATGAAGGCTGAAGCAATTATTTAACCAGAGACTTTCAAGCTTTGAAAGATCACTGAGGCTGGGTAGGGTATGAAGGTTATGGCAGTTACTTAACAGCAAATTTTCAAGTTTTGAAAGACCACTGAGGCTGGGTAGGGTAAGAAAATCAATCTCTGAGAGATATAAATTTCTTAAAGAGTCTAAGCCGTGTAACGAATCGGGAAATTGCAGAGGAAACTTCGAATGCACACCCGCTAGAGATAAATGAGTGAGATTCTTCAATCTTACTGTGGAAAGCGGTACTTGTCTTATGGCTGTGGTAGATGCTGAAAGTACTCTCAATGATATCATCTTCCCTAAATCCTCGGGTAGTTCACTGAATTGACAACATTTATCAAGAACAAGAGTCTGAACGGATTTGGACTTGTAGAAATCCCCAGGAAGAGAAAAAAGATTCTCGCAGCCTGTGAGGTTCACCAAAGAAAGTTTTTTAAGATGACCAATGGAGGGGTGAATCTCGGACAAACTCTTACACCATTGCAATATCAACTCTTCAAGATTTGGGAGATTTGAAAAATCTGGTGATTTTTTCAAGTCATGGCAACTTCCGAGATTAAGGATTTTCAAGTTTTCAAGCGACTGTTGCACAAAATAAAAGGAAAATTAAAATTAATATCCAAAAAGAATATCTCATAAAAAAAGAGAAGGAAATCCATAAACAAATAGAAACATTATACATAACATCATGATGTGCAATCAATTGTACCTTGGAGCCCTCCCAAACTTGTACCAATTTGCTACACATTATCTCTAAAATAACTAGTCTTGGTTGATCAAAGAAGTCATCTGGTACGGACTTTAAAGGGCATTCTTCCCAACGCAACCATATTAACCCTTTGGGGAGATGTTTGTATTCTCCATTGAGCTGCACGTTGTAGAGCTGGAGCAGTCTCAGTTTCTTCATATTGGCAAATGCTTCTGTACTGAAACTAGGCATGTTAAACCAACAAGGGAAATATAGAGCAAGTCCTTCAACTTCTTCAGTTCCCTGTTAACAAAAGGTTATATTCATGTGTAAGAAACGGATTATTTGCATATGTTTACATGTATGAATACATGCAAGCACTATTGTTGGCTAATTGAGATGAATGTTACTTAATGTATAATACACATCCGTGAGTTATATGTGCTTTTCATGTACGATGCATTAAATTCAAAATTTTATTAGGAATGTACTTACAGAGTTATCTCTCAATACTTTAGTGACCTCTTGATGGTTCCACAACCTACTCCATTCTCCAGGATGACGAGGGAATCTTACATGGCCGGTCCCAAGCCCGGATAAAGGAGGAGGGGGAGGGCGTCAGGTAGTCGACAGCCGGCACTCCATGATCACGTCGAATCCTTATGAAAATGAATCCAGAACAAAATCGCGCTAAAGCTAGGGCGTCACCCGTAAGTGGCGCGCTGTGTGGCCCGAGCACAGTGATAAGTGAGCAAGGGTCGCTGTATCTCCATCGGCACCCGGATGCAGTGTTAAATGAGCAAGGGGGCCATAGAAACTTCTTTTCGAACGACTCCACTCAAAGTTGTTTGGGAGCATATGCTCCTATCAACTTTACCCGGGACACACAAAAGAAGTACTACTTTGATCCTATTAGACGGGGGGAGGGTGAAGAAGCTAGGACAGAAGGGTAGAGTTCAAGAGAGCAAAATGCGTTTAGGAACGTGGAATATAGGAACCTTAACGGGAAAATCTATGGAAGTAGTGGAAGTTATGGTGAGGAGAAGGATAAATATTATGTGCCTACAAGAAACTAAGTGGGTTGGTAGTAAGGCAAAGGATCTAGAAAACTCAGGGTTTAAACTTTGGTATTCGGGCACAAATAGAACGAGAAACGGTGTTGGCATCATCGTGGACAAGACCTTGGTACAAGATGTTGTAGATGTCAAGAGGGTAGGAGATAGAATCATGACAATCAAGATTGTAATAGGACAAGAACTTATCAATGTGATTAGTGCGTACGCACCTCAAGTAGGGTTGGATACGAGTTCGAAGGAGAAATTTTGGGAAGATCTTGGAGACTTGGTGCAAGGAATTGCTCAGACGGAGAAGTTATTTATAGGAGGAGATTTAAATGGACACGTGGGCAGGGAGACAAGCAACTATGGAGGTTTTCATGGTGGCCATGGTTTTGGGGAGAGAAACGAGGATGGGGAAGCTATCTTGGATTTTGCAATGACATATGATCTCTTCTTAGCCAACACCTTCTTTAAAAAGAGAGAAGAACATGTGATCACCTACAAGAGTGGGTCGTCAAAAACACAAATAGATTTTCTTCTAATGAGGAAAGGGGATCGTATAACTTGTAAGGATTGCAAAGTTATACCAGGAGAGAGTGTGGCTAATCAACATCGCTTGTTGGTGATGGATGTACATATCAAAAGAGTAAGACAAAAGAACAAGACTTGGAAGTGCCCAAGGACTAGATGGTGGAATCTAAAAGAAGAAAAACAAGCCATTTTCAAAGAGAAGGTAATCACCCAATGTGTGTGGGATAGAGAGGGAGAAGCTAGCCAAATGTGGGATTCCATGGCTAGTTGTATCCGAAAAGTAGCAAAAGAGGTATTAGGAGAGTCCAAGGGCTTTGCCCCACACCAAAAAGGAATCTTGGTGGTGGAATGAGGAGGTACAAACAAAGGTGAAGGCTAAGAAGGAATGTTGTAAAGCCTTATACAAGGAGAGGACCGATGAAAATGGTGAAAGGTATAGAAAAGCGAAGCAAGAGGCGAAGAAAGCTGTCAGAGAAGCTAAGTTAGTGGCTTACGACGATATGTATAAACGACTAGATACCAAAGAAGGAGAGTTGGATATCTATAAACTATCTAGAGCAAGGGAAAAGAAGACAAGGGATCTAAACCAAGTGAGGTGCATCAAGGATGAGGATGGAAAGGTTCTTGCTACAGAGAACGCGGTTAAAGACAGATGGAGAGGTTATTTTCATAATCTTTTCAATGAAGGACATGAAATGAGTGCTTCTTTAGGGGAGTTGAGTAACTCAGAAGAGTGTAGAAACTACTCTTTTTATCGTCGAATCCGGAAGGAAGAAGTGGTTGTAGCTTTGAAGAAGATGAAGCATAAAAAAGCAATAGGCCCAGACGATATATACCAATCGAAGTGTGGAAACTTTTGGGAGAGACAGGTATAACATGGCTCACTGACCTTTTCAATAGGATTTTGAAAACGAAGAAGATGCCAAATGAGTGGCGAACGAGCACTTTGGTGCCTATCTACAAGAATAAGGGCGACGTACAAAATTGCATGAACTATAGGGGTATTAAGCTAATGAGTCATACAATGAAGCTCTGGGAGAGAGTCATTGAGCATAGATTGAGGCAAGAGACACGGGTTTCGGACAACCAATTCGGGTTCATGCCAGGGCGCTCAACCATTGAGGCAATCTATCTCTTACGAAGATTGATGGAAAGATATAGAGATGGGAAAAAGGATTTACACATGGTCTTTATAGATTTGGAAAAAGCGTATGATAGGGTCCCAAGAGACATTCTTTGGAGGATTTTAGAGAAGAAAGGAGTACGAGTAGCATATATCCAAGCTATAAAGGATATGTATGAAGGAGCAAAGAACTGCCGTAAGAACTCATGAAGGACAAACCGAAAGCTTTCCCATAACTGTAGGATTACATCAAGGCTCATCCTTAAGTCCTTACCTTTTTGCGTTGGTAATGGATGAGTTAACAGGACATATTCAAGATGATATTCCTTGGTGTATGCTTTTCGCAGACGATATAGTGTTGATAGATGAAACTCAGGAAGGGGTAAATGCAAAGCTTAACCTTTGGAGAGAAGTGTTGGAATCTAAAGGTCTTCGCCTAAGCCGATCAAAGACAGAATATATGGAGTGCAAGTTCAGTGCAAATGGAGGCCAAAACGAGTTAGGGGTGAGGATCGGAGATCAAGAAATACCAAAGAGCGACCGTTTTCGTTACCTAGGATCTATCTTGCAAAAGAACGGAGAATTAGATGGAGATCTCAACCATAGAATACAAGCTGGATGGATGAAGTGGAAGAGTGCATCCGGCGTGTTTATGTGACCGCCGTATGCCACTGAAGCTCAAGGGAAAATTTTATAGGACGGCAATAAGGCCGGCGATGCTGTATGGCACAGAATGTAGGGTGGTGAAACATCAACACGTACACAAAATGGGTGTAGCGGAGATGAGGATGCTTCGTTGGATGTGTGGGCACACGAGAAAGGATAAGATTAGGAATGAGGATATCCGGGGTAAAGTAGGAGTAGCCGAAATTGAAGGAAAGATGAGAGAAAATCGGTTACGGTGGTTTGGACATGTGCAAAGAAGGCCTACTGACGCTCCGATTAGAAGATGCGACTATGGGACAGAGGTTCAGGGCCGAAGGGGTAGAGGAAGACCTAGGAAAACTTTGGAAGAGACTCTAAGAAAAGACTTAGAGTACTTGGATCTAACGAAGGACATGACACAGGATCGAGCACAATGGCGTTCTAAGATTCATATAGCCGATCCCACTCAGTGACTTGGATTTTCCAAGTCTCCAACCGAGAAGTTTTCCTCACTCGGAAAATTAAGGGAACACTACCCCAACCTACATGCTCCACTCAGAAAGCTTCAACATACAAGCTTCAACAAAAGAAAATTCAAAGAACTTAGCGAAGAAGGCTTTGGTGTATTTAACACAATACGTTGAAATGAAGGAAAGCTTATTTATTGATATCCCCGATAAGCTACAAAATATGTACATATACATGAGTCAAAATAAACACACAAGAGGGAGCCTTCACAAAGGTTGCTTAGGAGAAGCCTCAGCAGTCGGTAGAGCCCCAGAAAGAGAAGGCACCGGAGGGGGATCATTTGGAGCCTCAGTACTGGACAGAACCCTAGAAGGAGGAGGCATCAGAGGTTGATCATTTGGAGCTTCATTACGCGGTACAGCCCCAGAAGACGAAGGCAATAAATACCTTTTGAACAAACCCACAAATCTCTGATGATCAAGTAAAACCTGACCATCAGTTTCCTTTATCTGGTCAAGCTTCCTCTTCATGTTTGTAGCATAGTCATGTGCGAGCCGGTGCAACTGTTTATTTCTCATGCTTGAGCCCTCTAATCTCCTGTTTGAGACTCATCACTTCAGCCGCCAATGATTCAACTTGGCGGGTTCGAGCAAATAGGCGTTGGGCCATATTAGACACAGAACCTGCACACTGAACACTGAGAGCCAGCGAATCCTTAACAGCTAACTCATCAGACCGTTTGGAAAGTAGTCTGTTATCTTTGGGAGTGAGAAGGTTCCTGGCCACCACCGCAGCGGTCATATCATTCTTCATCACGGAATCCCCAACGGTAAGAGGACCAGTAGGGGAGACGAAGGATGGGCGCCATATGTTGTCTGGAGAAGGCGGGGCTGCCTCTTCAACAAGGTTCAAGTCAAAACGACGGTCGGAGGGGCCAGACATTTTCAAAGGTGTTGAATCTAGAAGAGGTCAGACAAATCAAGATCTTAGAAGTGCAAGAATGAAGCTTCTACTGGTGGAGATTCAAGTGTGCTTTGGAACTTAATGCCAGCCCCTATAAAAATCTGCACTCGACGGAGCTTCAGAAATCGAAGAGGCGCCTGCTCAGAAATCGAAGAGGCGTTTGCTTTCTCAAAAGCTGGGCTGCTTAGAGATCACGAGGGTTGATCTCAGAAATCGAAGAGGCGTTTGCTTTCTCAAAAGTTGGGCTGCTCAAAGAGACCACGAAGGTCGATCTCAGAAATCGAAGAGGCGCTCGCTTTCTCAAAAGCTGGGCTCCCCAGAGACCACGAGGGCCGATCTCAGAAATCGAAGAGGCACCTACTTTTCCAGCCTTGTCAGCACCTGTCACACGCACACTCAGCTTTGCGGAAATTATGGGCATTCTGTCGAAGACTTCTGGGGAAGTAGAAAACACATGAATCTTACTGTTCAATCACTCACTTCCCACACGCAACAATAGCTCATGGGTACCACAGATAACTTTGCCAAAGTTCTCTGCAAAGTTGAGCACGTGAAGCTTGCAGCTCCTACTACATCGCTCTGACCAAGAAGGGTAAAAGAATAGGCAAAGAAACAGCACTAACAAAGTTTAGACCCATAAATTTTGAAGGTCTAGCTACCATATTATTACCCACAAGGGTAAAGGAACAGTACCACTGCTGGATAATTGGAAAGTCCCTGTGTGTCAACCTCTGTGCTTCGTGGCAAGGTAGACTAGCAAACATGCCCAACCTTTACTCACATTCGAGAAAACACTCCCAATAAGATTGCTTGCTCCAAAATCGAAGAGGCACCGTCCTCCGAATCTCGAGAGCCAGACTCCCAACATGACTACTTTCTTAAAAAATCGAAGAGAGGGTAAAGGAACAGTACCATTGCTGGATAATTGGAAAGTCCTTGTGTGTCAACCTCTATGCTTCGTGGCAAGGTAGACTAGCAAACATGCCCAACCTTTACTCACATTCGAGAAAACACTCCCAACAAGATTGCTTGCTCCAAAATCGAAGAGGCACCGCCCTCCGAATCTCGAGAGCCAGACTCCCAACATGATTACTTTCTCAAAAATCGAAGAGACACTGCTCCCCGAATCTTCGAGAGAGCCAGACCCCCAGCATGATTGCTTTCTCAAAAATCGATGAGGCATCGTTCTCCGAATCAATCGAAGAGGCGCTCGCTTTCTCAAAAGCTGGGCTGCTCAGAGACCACGAGGGCCGATCTCAGAAATCGAAGAGGCACCTACTTTTCTAGCCTTGTCAGCACCTGTCACACGCACACTCAGCTTTGCAGAAATTATGGGCATTCTGTCGAAGACTTCTGGTGAAGTAGAAAGCACATGAATCTTACTGTTCAATCACCCACTTCCCACACGCAACAATAGCTCATGGGTACCACAGATAACTTTGCTAAAGTTCTCTGCCAAAGTTGAGCACGTGAAGCCTGCAGCTCCCACTACATCGCTCTGACCAAGAAAGGTAAAAGAATAGCAAAGAAACAGCACTAACAAAGTTTAGACACATAAATTTTGAAGGTCTAGCTACCATATTATTACCCACAAGGGTAAAGGAACAGTACCACTGCTGGATAATTGGAAAGTCCCTGTGTGTCAACCTCTGTGCTTCGTGGCAAGGTAGACTAGCAAACATGCCCAACCTTTACTCACATTCGAGAAAACACTCCCAACAAGATTGCTTGCTCCAAAATCGAAGAGGCACCGTCCTCCGAATCTCGAGAGCCAGACTCCCAACATGACTACTTTCTCAAAATCGAAGAGAGGGTAAAGGAACAGTACCATTGCTGGATAATTGGAAAGTCCCTGTGTGTCAACCTTTGTGCTTCGTGGCAAGGTAGACTAGCAAACATGCCCAACCCTTTACTCACATTCGAGACAACACTCCCAACAAGATTGCTTGCTCCAAAATCGAAGAGGCACCGCCCTCCGAATCTCGAGAGCCAGACTCCCAACATGATTACTTCCTCAAAAATCGAAAGAGACACTGCTCTCCGAATCTCGAGAGCCAGACCCCCAGCATGATTGCATTCTCAAAAATCGAAGAGGCATCGTTCTCTGAATCTCGAGAGCCAGATACCACAGACCACTTTTTCAAAGTGCTCTGACAGAGTTAAAACATGTGAAACTGACAGCTCCCACTACCGTGCTATGACCAAGCAGGGTAAAGGAATAGCATTACTACTTGTTGTTAGGGAGACTCCTATATATGTCGACCTCCATCCCCAACGGACAGGCACACCTGCAAAAATGCTCAACCCTTCATCATATCTGAGAGGGCACTCCCAACGAAGCCTTTCGAAATATTCAGCTTTCTTTCCCCCCGATAATACCTCTGCAAACAAGCTATACTAGAGCAAGAATATCTCATATCATCAGGGTTAAAAGCAAGAGTATCCCATATCATGCTTTTTCCCTGTCTTTTCCTTTGGCCTTGTTTTTACCTGCAAGACAAGGAGAAAGAGAGCAATCAGTCAGCACTTGGAATCAAGCTTCCATCCAGGAATTGACTGCCTGGAACCCCTTACCTGATTACTTACCTGGCATTGCTCTCGAGTACTCATGTTCAACATCTTATGTTTCCAGGGAAGATTCCGCATCTGCTTGAGGAACAAATAGGGCAAGTGCGAAGGATACAAGGAAGCATGTGGAGACAAGCGTAACAGCACACGTGCCGATACATCCATTACTCTGTCAAAAGCAAAAGTATCCCATATCAGCAGGGTGGAACGTACTCTAGATTTGATGGACTTGTTTTGACCCTCAAATTCTTCAGTCGGCCTTATACTCTGGAGGAAACCAGAAAACCCTCCAGCTTAGTTCAAGAATAAGCCTGTGGAAAGTTACTTCTTCAAAAGCAAAAGTATCTCATATCATCTCTTCTCATTTTTTCTTCTCTTTATCCTTCCTGCTGCTGCAAGATGGGGAGAAGGTGAAACAATCAGTCGGAGCTCTGATTGCTTACCTTGTCTGTCACCTCTTTCAGCAGACCCCTAGCTCGGCGACTTGGGGGACTCCTACTACATGGTTTGTATCGCGCTTGATCAAGCCTGAAACTACAAGTAAGCTTCAAGTGAAATTGATACATTACCTTGTGCATCTCCACCAGTTAAAGATACCACCCCTGGATGGAGGAAGAGTACTTCCAGAGAAGATGCCACATCTACCTATGAGACAGATAAGGCAAGTCAAGACGACACCACACTCCGATACTTAGAAGTTTCGTGATTACGAGATCATTCTCCCACAATATTTCCTAATGTCATTTGTACTAAATCATTCACTTGTACTCACTAAAGGAGAGCTTGAACCTATGTACTTGTGTAAACCCTTCACAATTAATGAGAACTCTTCTATTCCGTGGACATAGCCAATCTGGGTGAACCACGTATATCTTGTGTTTGCTTTCCTATCTCTATCCATTTATATACTTATCCACACTAATGACCGGAGCAATCTAGCGAAGATCACAAAAAGCGACCGTTTTCGCTACCTAGGATCTATCTTGCAAGAGAACGGAGAATTAGATGGAGATCTCAACCATAGAATACGAGCTGGATGGATGAAGTGTAAGAGTGCATCCGGCGTGTTGTGTGACCGTCGTAGGCCACTGAAGCTCAAGGGAAAATTTTATAGGACGGCAATAAGGCCAGCGATGTTGTATGGCACAGAATGTTGGGCGGTGAAGCATCAACACGTACACAAAATGGGTGTAGCGGAGATGAGGATGCTTCGTGGGATGTGTGGGCACACGAGAAAGGATAAGATTGGGAATGAGGATATCCGAGGTAAAAGTAGGAGTAGCCGAAATTGTAGGAAAGATGAGAGAAAATCAGCTCCGGTGATTTGGACATGTGCAAAGAAGGCCGACTGACGCTCCGGTTCGAAGATGTGACTACGGGACAGAGGTCCAGGGCCGAAGGGGTAGAGGAAGACCTAGGAAAACTTTGGAAGAGACTCTAAGAAAAGACTTAGAGTACTTGGATCTAACGGAGGACATGACACAAAACCGAGCGCAATGGCGTTCTAGGATTCATATAGCCGACCCCACTTAGTGGGAAAAGGCTTTGTTGTTGTTGTTGTTGATTAATTTGGCCATTTCTCGAAGCAAATCATGCATATTCAACCTGTTGTGTTCAACAGTTATAAGGCATCGTTCACGAAGGTCACTGATTCCTACTGTTGCAAAAAACTCACATCCATCTAATATTTTTGCGACAAAGTCCTTATCCCATCCAATAAAGAAACAAGAAATGTCAAGGAATATATCCTTCTGTGTAAGATCTAGCCTTTCAAAGCTTACTCTTAGCGGTTTCATTATTCCTTCATCAGGAAATTTTTTCAATTTCTCCAACTGACTTTTCCACTCTGTTGGGGTTCTTTCAATCATAGAAGAACCTAAAACTTCAAGGGCTAGTGGCAAACCTCCACAGTAAGAAACCACCTCTTTTGAGAGTTCAAGATATCCTTCATTAGGCCAACTATTTCCAAAGGCATGCCAACTAAAGAGCTTCAGAGCTTCTTCTTCATTCATTTCCTTAAGCGGATATGTCTTGTCCACTTTCATGTTCACTTGCTTTAGTAAACGTTCATCTCGTGTCGTTATGATAATTCTACTTCCTGGACTAAACCAATCACGATTTCCAACTATTGCATTTAGTTGTTCCACTTTGTCTACATTGTCAATAATGACAAGTACGCTTCTACGTTGGAGATGATTTTTTATCAGACTCATTCCTCGATCAACACTGGTTAACTTAGACTCGGTCTGTTTCAAGATGTCAGAAACAAGTTTTCCTTGCAAATCAACCAGATCATATTCACTAACGTTGGCAAGGAAACTTTTGAATTGGAACTTATGATGAATTTGGTTATAAATGGCTTTGGCAGCTGTTGTTTTACCCAATCCACCCATACCCCAAATTCCAACCATGCGAACAACATCTGATCCACCATTTGAAAGATAAGTGATGATATCTTGAATGCGATTATATATTCCAACTGGGTGCTTGGCCACATGTAATTTTTCTGCGCTCGGAAGCCATTCCGGGATAATCTTGTCAACAATTTCTCTAATAAGCTTTGCTTCGCGCCTGAAAAATTGAATTGGTAAGCTTAGTAAGTAGGCTCAGTAGGAGCTATTAGTACTAATATAAACAATTTTCTTTCCTTCTTCCTTCGTGTGTGTGTGTATATATATATGTACACAAACTAGCTACTAGCTAGTATGTGATTTTGTGACCAACTTCAATAAAAGAAACAAATTCATTCATGGATATATTAAAGTTTGGTGTATCAATTAAACTCCAATTAAGATTCAAGAAATTTGGGGGATGCGGGTTCGGGGTTCGGGTGAAGGCTGCGGTCCGTGGGCTACAGGTTGGGGACGGCCGGGGAGTAGGGATTAGGGATTAGGGATTGGGGGTTGGAAGTGGGAGGTTGACGGGGTGTGAATCAAAGATTGAAGGTGAAGGGGTGGGCTGCGAGCCTGCGAGTGTTGATGGGGTGAAACTAACATGTAAAGTTGTAAACACTTTTAACTAAAATTTAAAGGAATTGGTTACGAAGGACTAACGCTCCAGATTTTATCAAGTTCAAGGACAAAATGTAATGAATTTTTAATTAGGAACCAAAGCTACAATTTTCCTCTAGATTTTATATGAGAGATTAAGGCGTATTAATTAAGCATGTTAATAAGTGTAATACAACTTAAATATTGAAAAGCACGTGAATGATTACCGATTATCAGTGATTTGAAGATGGTAGCCAGACAAATTTGCAGCTTTTGTAAGAACCTCTTCCCACTGCTTTACCCCTTCTTGTTTAGCTTCACGTTTCTTGCGTTTCTTGTCATCCTTTTCTTCACCCATGCCCTCTTCGTGCTCCTGAAATTCTTCGGCTAACTCTGCAGCTTCTCTAAGAGCCTTTCTCCACTGCTTTACCCTTTCTCGGTTTTCTTCACGTTTCTTGTCATCTTTTTCTTTACGGATGTTCTTTTTGTGCTTCTTAAATGCTTGGGCTAAAACTCCATTCTGCTTCCTGACATGTGAAGGATCAATGTGATAGAATATTGGCAAAACATGTCGCCCCAGTTTGTCTCTGCACTCCATGATCTTCACCAGCTCGTTAAGACACCAACTTGAATCTGCATACCTCTCTGAGAAGACAATGATAGAGATCTTCGATTTTTCGATTGCCTGTTCCAGTTCTTTTTGTATTTCTTCCCCTCTTTTTAGACCATCCTCATCAATATAAGCCTGGTATCCCTTGTCTGTTAATGCCGCATGGAGGTGGTCCGTGAAGCCATTGCGTGTGTCTTCACCGCTGAAGCTCAAGAACACGTCGTAATTCCAAAGTTTTGACTTGGAGGAGGATGAAGAGGAGGCTTCGTGGGTTGTCATGGCAGTATCCACCGTTATGGCACAGCAGTGGTTTAGATCACGACTGAAAAATGGCAGTAGTTGTGTTTGTGCTGTTGAACGGATGATCCTGAAATACCTAAACCCAAATCAAGCTCCTTCAGTCAACAAGAATATAGTTTATAATATAATAATGTTGGCGTATGGACTTGAGAAACGACATAATGTTGGCCAGAAGGTGCAGAGAGAAACTTGAATGCAAGCTTTCTGAAATTTTCCAAACAATACAGATAGAAAGGTAACACCCTAGTCAGACGAGGTGCGAGCTTTCTAAGAAACCCAGATGACAAAATCAACAAAATAGAATGGAAAAATGACTTGCACTTTTAAGGCATGCTCGAACCTGGATCTAAAATTGGTGGTGGGTCGATTGTTGGTCACCAACTCTAAACGAAGAATTCATCAAAACCTAGAAATTTAAACAAAGAATTTTCCAAATCACCATTTACTAAAAACCAGTTACTATCATGCATGATGGCTTGCCAAAGACTGAATTAAGGAATACACAACTTTACTTTTATGATTATTTTCAATGACAGCTAAAAGGTCAGATCCAAATGAAAATAAAAGTTAGAACTTCACAAAACGAATTAAAAACCTAATTCAAAAGTTACAAACACCCACCAAATGACTCCAGATAAAGTTTTAAACTCAAGGTCAAACCAAATGAAATTAAAAGTTAGGACTTCACAAAACCAATTGAAAATCTGATTCCAAAGTTCCAAACACCCACCAAATGAATCCGGATAAAGTTTAAACTCAAAACCCAACAGAAACAAAAGCATTGGTGTGAATTAACTGTATCTAATTGAAGAAACTAAAACAAAAGTAAGCAAAGTACATACCTCAAAATGTCAAGCAACTAAGTTCTTCCTCCGACGACCCAAAACTCTGAAAATTCCACACAAAAAAAGGTAAATCCATTAGCAATTCATAGCTTTCAAAATTAGCAAAAACTTGGGCAACAATAAAGATGCGTTGAGAACCATCACTCCTTCTCCTTATGTATTTGAAAAGATATTTTATAAGCAGTTTATGTAGTCATTCTGATCATGTTGCATATAAATTCCTTTTCTACAGAGTTCAAAAATATATGGCAGTTTATGGCATCTGTTGAAACTTGAATAACATGGTTGAAAGATTTAAAATTGATACATTCAATTTTCATGTGTAAAACTATAACATATAGCTAAAGTTATTGGTCTATATATCCATATCAATCAAGTCGTAATATGTTTATCGATGTAAAAAGATGATTTCAGTCATGTGATAACATGCTTCTTGATAGTATAGCTAAGCTGAAGTTTGGTCTAAGTTGGATACAAATCGACCAAAATCTTAATAAGAGACTCTTTTAACTTTTAACCAAAAAATAAGCACCACAATACTACACTTATAAGTTTTATCATGCACAAAGTACACAGCACTGATTGCCACTTTTAGAGTAAGAACAATACTTTACCAGAAGAAAACAACAAAACACTCAAAACCCAGAAACAGAAACACACTTAGGATTCAAACTCCTCAAAAACATGAGAAAGAGAGAGAGAGTGTGTGTGAGGAATGAGAATAAAAAACAATATTATTTTTCACACAAACTAAAAATTGCTTATAAAAGTTAGAAATCAAAACAAATTAATGCAAATCCAAAATTGACCTAAATTAAATCTGATTAGTTAAATGTTTGTTGCCCTACAAATGTCGTTACACCCGACAAAACTTGCTTTGAAGTTGATATTTTGGTCAATCCTGGGGAAAAGGAGTTATTGGTGTTGGAGCAGTTGTCATGGAGAATACCATCTCCCTGTTGAATGATCTAAAACAGGACTTACTGCTTCTGCTGGCCATAATAATTTAGGAGGCCCTTCTCTCCAGATTTTCTCAATAACTTTCCTTTTCGTAGCTGGTAAGATTGCAACTCTAAGAATTGCTCTGAAGATATATATACAAACAAAATCAAAGTAAAACTAAGTTATTGGAAGAAATTTGGAAAACACAAACACCACTACAACTCAGAGTTAAAGTCAACAGAAACCAAATGGTACAAGTTGAAAAAATATATGGTCATGAATCGAGAACTTCAACAAACTAACAGCAATAAAATCTCATATAATCTATCAAAAACCAAAAAAGAGAGAGGTAATTTCAAGACCTTGTAACGCTGAGGCCTCGTACAGTTGTAGTACTAATATATGGTTGATGCACCTGTTGCTCAATCAAATCCTTTGTCTGGCTAGAAAAAATAAAAATCTATAAATACATTCACGTCCAATTTATGAGAAATCATGGGAAAGCAAATGCACTGATAACAGAATCATGAATATGAAGAACTTGCCAAAAAGAAAAAGAAAACTTCTTATAGTGTGCCAAGAACATCCTCCTACTCCAAGCAAAATTTTTATGGCATTATCCACTTCTCAATTCATAATTCAACCAGTAACCCAAAGTCTATAGTGTATGAAATAGTGATATCTTAGTTGATCATGATGATAATTAAGCAGATTAATGAGGACCCATAAAGCGTACAAAAATTCAGAAAATAAAAGGTCCAAAACTGCCATAAGAAAACGCAGAATATATAAACGGAAAATCAAAATAAGAGAAGCGAAAAAGGAAGACAAAACCAAACAAAAAGGCCACAATCATGAAAGTCAAACACGAACAATCCAAACATTTGTGGAAAATACCAATAAATACAACAACAACAACAACAACAACAACAACAAAGCCTTTTCCCACTAAGTGGGGTCGGCTATATGAATCCTAGAACGCCATTGCGCTCGGTTTTGTGTCATGCCCTCCGTTAGATCCAAGTACTCTAAGTCTTTTCTTAGAGTCTCTTCCAAAGTTTTCCTAGGTCTTCCTCTACCCCTTCGGCCCTGAACCTCTGTCCTGTAGTCACATCTTCGAACCGGAGCGTCAGTCGGCCTTCTTTGCACATGTCCAAATCACCAGAGCCGATTTTCTCTCATCTTTCCTACAATTTCGGCTACTCCTACTTTACCTCGGATATCCTCATTCCCAATCTTATCCTTTCTCGTGTGCCCACACATCCCACGAAGCATCCTCATCTCCGCTACACCCATTTTGTGTACGTGTTGATGCTTCACCACCCAACATTCTCTGCCATACAACATCGCTGGCCTTATTGCCGTCCTATAAAATTTTCCCTTGAGCTTCAGTGGCCTACGACGGTCACACAACACGCCGGATGCACTCTTTCCATCCAGCTCGTATTCTATGGTTGAGATCTCCATCTAATTCTCCGTTCTCTTGCAAGATAGATCCTAGGTAACGAAAACGGTCGCTTTTTGTGATCTTCGCTAGATTGCTCCGGTCATTAGTGTGGATAAGTATATAAATGGATAGAGATAGGAAAGCAAACACAAGATGTACGTGGTTCACCCAGATTGGCTACGTCCACGGAATAGAAGAGTTCTCATTAATTGTAAAGGGTTTACACAAGTACATAGGTTCAAGCTCTCCTTTAGTGAGTACGAGTGAATGATTTACCAATAAATGCTCAACTAAAAACGAAAGAAAACGTAGAACAAGTTTACCTGTTCTTCCCCTAATTAAACTGGAATACAATTCACCACTAATATTCTCGTCATCCTCCTCAGCCTGAAAAATTTAGTAGAACATAATGATAAGAATCTAGCAGTATTTCCATTGTTTAAAACCCAAATTCCAGAAATCATGAAAAATGGAAGCTTTATATGGAAATTGAAGCTTTACCTGCAGATCAGCAACAGCAAATGGAATCCAACGGCATATACCTCAAAAGTGAGAGAGAGAGAGAGCTGAGAGATGAGTGAGAGAATCGATCAATAAAACCCCCCAAAATCACAAAATGAAACTGAACAGAAAACAAATTTGCAAATCTAAAATAAAAAAAACGAAATTGAAACACCCACACTAGAAAGCTGTAAAACTCACCAGGAAACGCTAGTTTCTGGGTAAAAAAATTATTCGAATCGAATTGAAGAACGGAGGAAAGTTGTGCTGGTTCAGTGGTTTTTCCAGTAAGAAAGCACCTTGTTTGTAATTCGTGAGAGGTTGGAGAGCGAGAGAAGCCGATTTGGGAGCCAAAGAAAGCGAGGTTGGAGACCGACGGAGGCTGAGAATTGTGAGGGAGAAAAACGAAAAGGAAAGGAAAAGCGGAGAAGAAGTCACGATTATCGACGCGTGGGTAGCATTCCACTGTGCCAACTGCCAAGGACGAAAATGAACGGGGAATGGAAAAAGATCACTTAATTGCGATGCTGTTGATTACCCGTCTTTCTAGAACAAGACTAGGCTGCCGAATATTCAGCAGCCGCTCATGCTGACACTCTACATGAAAATTAGGTACAAGTAGGAAAGGCTCTTGAATTGTTCAGCAGCCAAGTTAATTCAGCCTTTCTATTTGACTAAGTTCTTTTTCACATTCTTCTCTAAAAAACATGGTTCCTTTTCACATTATTACAATTTTATATTTATATTTTTACAAAAAGGGATTTGTTCAAATTAATTTTTTTCAAAAAATTTCGTGTGGTGAGTGAAATGAAAGTGAAACACTCTCTTTGTTATGATTATTACAATATTTATATTTTTACAAAAGGGATTTATCTAAACTAAAATTTTCAAAATTACTAAAAAGATTCGAACTTTCGTGTATATGAATATATGGAGTAAATTGATCATGGCTGAAAATATGGACTTGAGAAACAACATAGGCAAGGAAGGTGTAAAGAAAGAGTAATAGAGAGGAAAAGAGAAAAGAAACGAACATGATAAAACAAAGACTATCGAATACATTATAAAACAATGACTTCTTGGCGGTTATTACATCTCAATCATCAATAATACATTTTTTAAGTTGAAATGTGGAAGGATTTGAGAAGTAGCATGACAACAACCACATAATAAACAAAAGTGGACCCAAATGTGAAGGGATGATTAAAAACAATTATTCAAGATGAGCGGTAATTGATTCAACCATTTACAAGATTCGAACTTAGAATCATGATGGATCATTGTATTAACTATTAACAGGTGCTATAATATAAACGAAAACTAATGAAAATGGCTTCAAATTTTTACATTTTAATCAAAAACCATCCACTAACTTTATTTAATGATAAGGACAAAAGAACTAAAAAAAAAAATCATAAAGAACACAACTTGCACTAGGCGCATCCCCCCATATAAACTGGTATAACAAATCCTTCATGTTTTGCTTGCTGCAGGCACCTTGGAAACTCAGATACCAATTACTTTGGAGTTTGTCAAAATAAAAGCAAAATCTTTTGAGAAACCTCACTGCCCAAAACAAAAGCAAGTATGGAAGTGCGAGAATACTCCATTATAATCCAATACACAACTCCATCAAAGAATGTACACTTAGATTGCCAAGAAATCACAGTATTTGAAAAAGAAGGCATCACAGTTATTCTTCTCCAAGCATATGACCTAAGGCAGTAAACCTCAACTTCAAGGATGACATTCTCGTGTGGAAGCAAAACCCTAACAAGCCTCACAACCTTATAGTCGTTTTTTTCCCATTGAAGGACATGAAGCGGAGGTACGATATGGACTCATATCCATGGGTGAATTCGATTTTAGTGATTTCATTTGTGTTATTTTTTTATTTTGCAGAGAGAGAAGGTGAGATTGTAGGTGGAGGAGAAGAGGAAGTCGTAGATGGGTGGACAATAGAAGAAAATTAAGTAATTGGTGTAGAAAGTTAAGAAATTGAAGACATATAGAGAAAATTTGATGAGCATTGAAGAAAATTAGGAGAAGAAAATGTGTTTGGAATGTGAGAATGTGCTAAGAAAATCCAAGAAGAGGAGAGAATAATGTAGTACCGTCAAGTTTCATAAATAGTGTAGTAAGTTTCATAAACAGTATTGTAAGTTTTCATAAACAGTGTCGTAAGTTTCATAAACAGTATCGTAAGTTTCATAAACAGTATCGTAGGTTTCATAAACAGTGTAAAGGTTTCATAAACATTGTGAGGATCCGAGGGTCCGCGTGTCAGATTTTTTTTAATTTTTTTTTAATATCAAAATTATGTCTCTTTCATTAAAATTTAAGTTCTTTTGTCTTTTTTATTAAAATTTAAGGGGTTTTCATTAAAATTTAAGTCTTTTAATTAAATAAAGTTATAGCATGATTTTTTTATTAAAATAAACTTAATTCAAGTCATTTTCATGAAAGTTCCCATAATATAATTCTTAGGGATTTCAAGGAGGCATACGGGGACTGCAAAATGTGCAATAGGTTTAAACTTCTTTTGTTACTAGGCAAATGAACCATATTGAAAAAAGTTAAGGTTCTACCATAAAGCTAATTAGCAATATGGAGAGTAACGTAATAACTTATAAACGCTTGTAAGATTTCTCCTTTTACCAATGTAGAGCTCTTTTGTAAGATTTCTCCTTTTACCAATGTAGAGCTCTTTTACCTTCATATCCTCGCACATATAATACGCAGCGCGTTTACTAATCCATAATCAGGTTGAGGGGAATTGAACTGAAGAGGAATTGAATTGAGGGGGAATTGGAATGAGCTGGAATCAGAATTAGATTCATGTTGAAGTTGTTTACCAAAACTGTCTAGAATCGGAGTATAAATGACATTGATCTATATAAACTGTTTACTAATTCATATGAATCGGAATAAAATTTAATATAATTACTAAAGTACCCCTGCTTAACTAATCTATTTTATTTGCTAATTATTTTTAGTAAAACTTCTTTCATTTTTTTTAGAGAGAATTTTTCTTTAGTAAAATTGTTACATTTTTTTTAGAGTAGAAATGACCTTCCATCTTCACAAGTCATTTCATCGAACACCTGGAGAGTACATTCTGCATTTCAACTCCTTCCACCACCAAAAACTTCAGCTAACAGCTTCCAATTTTTCTGATTTTTTACAGTTCCCTCTCATGTCGAAAAGTAGAAAGCTTCACAACCTATCACAGAGTAAGAGATGAACCCATCAAAGCCCCACCAGCAAGTTGACACTGACGAAATCGAAGAAGTCTAGTGCCAAATATCCCTCTCGGACTTCCCCGGCGGCTCCGAGACCTTCGAAATCACCGCCAAGTTCTACTACGGCGTCAAGATCGACCTGAGCTCCTCCAACGTCGTGCCGTTACGTTGCGCCGGAAAGTATTTGGAGATGACGGAGGAGTACTCGGAGGACAACCTCATTTCAAAAACTGAGAGGTTTCTCTCCCAGTCGATGCTGAAAAGTTTCAAGGAGTCGCTCAGAGCTCTCAAGTCATGTGAGCGAGTTGCGCCTCTGGCGGAGAATTTGGGGTTCTTCTTGGTTTGTGGTTTGATCAACTTTTGTGGTTTAATTGTTATGGAAGATGATGGTGGTCGAGTCTGTGTCCTGGGAAGGGTAAGGGATGTGCGACGGTGGTGAAGGAGAAGGAAAGGGATAACACTAGGGACGAGAGCTTGGGTTTCTTCGGAATTTCAACTTTTATGCGAGGGCACAATGGGTAAGAAAATGGATTCATCACTCCCTCAATCCTCCGGAATCCAAATACCATCTAATTGTTAGGAGTCCAATTCCTCCAAATTTCATAATTGGATTCCAAAATTTGTGTGGGACCCACTAAATTTTGATTGCCTCAAATTTGGTAAACACCAGAGTATTTCGTAATCGGAATTCAATTCCGTTTCTTGATGCCGATTACCTTTACGTAAATGTGCCACCAAATTGATGCCAATACATAAACAACGTTTTGAAAGGACAAGGGAGCTATCAATGTCTTTTTATATGACTTGGACTTGGAGTACGGGCTGCGAATTGGATGCAATGCAATGAGGGCATGTTTGTTTAGCTTCACTAAACATCACTGGACTGGACTAGACTAAAAGCTAGTGTAGTCAGTGTTTGTTTGCAAGAGGGACTAAGTTTAATGGGACTAGGTGCGATTCGCTCCGACTAAAACACTCGCTAGGTGGTCTTAGCGAGACCCCTCGAGAAGGAGCGGACTGCTAAGACCCTCTCCTCTTCACTTCGCCCCTACCCAGTCCCCGCGTCTCTCTTTCTTTCTGTATTTCCTCTCTCTGCTTGAAGCTTCAGACGTTCATGGTGGCTGGGCTGCTTGGCATCGTTGATCAGAGGTGATGACCCAGATTCTTCCACCACCGACATCAGCCATGGTGGCTGGACAACAACAGCCTCGATCAGATCGTCGCCGTTGAACCCTTCTCCAAATTCTCCGCCAAAGCCAAATCAATCAAAGAAATCCTGGATTGCGTGTTTCAGGCTCTTGCTAAACTATGATTTGTCCAGAAAATACATGTACCAAATCTGAAGAAAATAGAAAATAAATACAAAGGGAGGGAGGGGAGAGAGGGTACAGAAGTAAAATCGGAAAAAAAAAATTTGAGGGGAAGGAGACTGGTACAAAGAAAAGGAGGGACAAAATGGGAGAAAAGGGGAATGGGGAGGGAGACGCAGAGAAAAAGATGACGAAGTGATTGGAGAGCAAGATGGCTCTAGAAAAATAAGATAAAGTAATACAAAATATTAATTGATATATTAAATTAAAAATAAAATATTAATAAATATAGATTAAATAATATAATATTATAATCCTGCTTTTTAATCCGACACTGCACCAAACGCTTCACTAAATTAGTCCAGCTTAGTCTAGTCTAAGCCAGTCCAGCTTAGTCCTGAAGTTAGTCCAGTCCAAGACAGTCCGGTGCAACAAACGCACCCTGAGTCTCTTGGCGGTATAGGGTGAAGTGGAAAGAAACTAGCACGAAACTGCAGAGGATTTCGATCCATTATAATATAAAATAAAGGAGAATTAGGTTCACATCATTCTTTTTGCTACTTCATTGATTAAAATCTTATTCATTTTCAATTTTTGATCAAGGTCATTGAGTATTAATAACATCATTAATTATTTGAATAATAAAATATTTTTATTTTTAAATATATTCCTTTAGTGTTAAAAATGTTACAATTAGTATATTTATATTTATGGCTAAATTTTTATCATATATTTTTATTTTTAGTTTGTACCTATTTTTAAGTTGTACCAATTTTTTTTTTCATTTTTAATTTGTACTCATATATTAGTTTCTTTTTGTGCCCATATTTTTTTAAAGTTTTATTTATGTTTATACCCATGTGTATACTGTCACATGACATTGTATATTTAATCAATGATAGAAAAATTACATATGGTATATTTATGTTTTATGCCTAAACTTTGTATCATATATTTATATTTTTAGTTTATATCCACTTTTAATTTGCAACATTTTTTTTAAATT